TGGTAGAATTTTTTTTTTCATAATATTAATTCGCAATGTTTACCTCGGAAAGTGTTATTGAGTCTTTTAGACTTTCCTTCTAGTCCGGGAACGTGTGTCACACGTTAAAGGTATGTTTGCATATCCTTCGCCTATTCGTACGTCCCATATTATATGAGGGCTAAGGCAAAAAAAACATTGGCGGTCACCACTGCAGTGAACAAAGTATCGCAGAGTTATAAGAACTGAGTTAAATAACATGCTTAAGTACGGCAAGCTTGGCCATTCACAGATAATGTAGATGTTGTAGCTGGGGAAGGTAATGATATAAGAAGCAGGTGGATATATGGAAAGAAAATCCTGAGGCATTTGGAAATGACTTTCGAAGCTCCAAAGGGTACATTTGAACTTTTGCATTAAAATAGCAAAGGTCATAAGATATTTGCTTTTTAAAGATGTGCAATGTTTAAGAAGTGAAAATGGAGGACTAGAAAATAAAAATTACCAGTAGAACACCAAAAAATACGGATTTTCAAGTAATTCGGAAATGGCCTGGGAAACCGATTGCAAGGAGTCGAAAGCCAATTCGTTACAAAATGTACTTTGTGCTGAATGCACCCATTGTGGTGGTGGAAATCTGTAACATCTGGAAACTTGGCAGCACTTGTTAACAGATATGACTCTTTTGATGGGGACTCAAGCGAAAAACGAATCTCGTATTTACTTCCTTAAACTTGCTGGAAAAACATTGATCTGGGGAGTGGATCAGGCCTTGTAAACGAAAATAATTGGCAATTTTTTTAACATAGAGATGCACTTTTTGCTTTTTATTTGGTACTTATTCATACATTTTCCACATGCTTAGTATCAAGTACAGTGACTAAGTAAGGATGAAAAAGTAAATGGAATTTGCAGGAGTATTGTAGAGGAGACGAGGAGAGAAAGAACTAAATATCCGGCAATCGGAGAGATGGTGGCAGTTGAAAAATTGGGAAACATTTGAAGTCGTAAATATATACGATTGTGTGGCCGTATAAGAAGCTGGAAAGAAAACTAATGTTAAATTGGACATGCAGAGGATAGTTAAGTGAATTGTGGAAATACATTTTAAAAACTATGGATATATAAATTTTCCCTTCCACCGAGCAATTCAATGGAACGTTGTGCATCTGTTAGAATTCTGTTTAAAAATGTATTAATGGTTTTTACTTTGTGTAGAATATAACAGCCACAAATATGCGCAACATCTACAAATTAAAAGACATCGATTCTTGCGCACGCTGTTTGATGCATGCAAGTCTCATGGGTCGAAATTTATTGATGCATTGTTACATCTCCCATGAAAAGGGACTGAGAAGAGACTGAACATCCTGGGAAGAGATCGAGAAGAGGGGAAGATGTGAAAATGTGTTAATTTAGTTGTTGCCAAGACGACGGTGCTACTGATGGAAACTGGGGGCAGCTCACGATGATTGATGATTCCGATGACATCACCTGCTTTTATATAAATTATATATAAATTTTATATATACATTTTATGTATAATTAGATGTAATATAAATGTATTATATATACTCACATTTATATATCATTAATGTTATTTATATATAAATTGTATATAATTTGTATACAATTCATACAAGGAAATTTATATAAATACTTTTTGGTTCTTTCTGTAAAGTCACGTAGGTATAAAATAAAATAAATCACGACGTTTCAATCGCAACACAAGCGGTCGTCCTCAGGCAGAAAAAATATGATCCAGCAGTGGAACTGCTGAACCAGCGAGAGAGCTGTTACAACAAGAGGTTATATATGTGGCAATAGGCAAGCAAGCGTGGTCTGAGTCGGAAAGGAATTCCATCCACGGACGCAAGCACATCAGTTGTGTTAATGGGGGAGATTAGGGAGAGAGGGATTAGGGAGGGAGATTAGCATGAATGAGCTTCCCTCGCCGCATAAGAGTATCATGCCCGCATATGCGCACAACAGCAGTGTGAATGAGAGATTAGCACCATGAGAGTGTAATCCAAAGGATGTGAGCCTGAGAGTGCAATACAAAGGACATGTAAGTATGCGAGTGCAATCCAAAGGACATGTGAGAGATCTAAGAGAGAGGCATAGAGAGAGAGATACAGAGTCGGAAATAACAGCTGACATAGGCAGGTAGGATGGAAACATCACAGTCAGTTAAGACTTTACCTGGTTAATAACGTCCTTCCAATGATTGCTCAGTTTGTACCCATCTTCTCGGTTGAAGTTGTGTCTGTGTTTATATATCTGGATGGCTTCATGAACAAATCTCTGAAGGTAGCCGGTAGGTTTGCAGAGTACCTCCATCTTGTAAAAATCTATTTTGTGTGAGCCCACAGCGTTAAAACAATGATCAGCAACGGCAGAGGTATTGGTCCTACCGTGTTTCAGATCTGCCTTGTGTTCACGAACGCGGTCCGAGACATGTCGTTTTGTTTCCCCAATGTAACTGCTGCCACAACCACAACTCAGTTTGTAGACACCAGGGTATTGCATGTCAGGAATCACATCCTTGACAGATGGGATTAAATAACGGATTTTGTGTACTGTGTTGAAACGAACCTGGATCTTGTGTTTGTTTAAGATTTTGGAAATCTTTTGGTAACCCCAGCTATGTATGGTAAAGTGATGGTTTTAGTTGGATCCTCAGAAGGTTGTCTCCCCATGGCTTGGGAGGCAGATTTGCAGATTGTACGGCCCGAGTATCCGTTCATCCTGAGGGCTTGCTGTACGTGCTCCAACTCACTAGCTCGGTGGTGCTGGTCGGAGATACAACGGGCCCTATGGTGTAGTGTTTTGATGAGGGAATATGTCTGGGCTGGATGATGGTGGGAGTCAGGCTTTATATAGGCATCCGTGTGAGTGGCTTTCCTGTAGACCGAATGTCCCAATGAGGCATCAGGTCTCTTCTCGGTCAAAACATCCAGGAATGGTAGCTTGCCATTCTTTTCCACTTCCATGGTGAATTTGATAGACGGGTGTATGGAATTGATGTGGTTGAGAAATTGGTTCAGTGCTGGCAGGCCATGTGGCCAGATGACGAACGTGTCATCTACATATCTCTTCCACAGGGAAGGACGTAGGGTGGATGTCTGGATGGCATCTGTCTCAAAATTTTCCATGAAAACATTCACTACCTCTAGCGATAAGGGAGGACCCATTGGGGTACCCTAATTTTGTTTGTAGAATGTACCATTCCAGGTGAAGTATGTGTTGGTAAGACAGTGCCTTACCAATGTTGGTACATCTGGATTCAGTCCTTGTTGGACCAAGTCTTCAATGATTGCAATGGTGTCAAGTACAGGTGCATTGGTGAACAGAGAGACTACATCGAAACTGATAAGCAAATCATCTGGAGACAGTGAGATGTCCTTGATTAGAGAAACCAAGTGAGCTGAGTTAAGTACAGCTGAGGTGGACTTGCCCGTGAAAGGAAGCATGGTCTCAGACAGAAATCGGGCCAGTTTGTAGGTGGGTGAGTTAATGGTGGAGACGATAGGACGGAGCGGGGTACCTACTTTGAGGATTTTTGGAAGGCCATAAAATCTGGGTGGTCTCGCAGCCGAAGGTTTTAGGGAGCTCTGCTTGGTCTGATCGATTAGAGAAGTTGATTTAGTGATGCTATTGTTGGTTTTTGTGGCTAGGCGTTTTTTTATTAAGATTATATAAATACATTATAAATTATTCATATACATTTTATTCATATATAATATATAGATTTATATATTTTATTATTATATACGTAGAATTTATATCTGTATTTTTTTTTTCATTTTTCGAGGTGTCCTCACTAACTATGTGTATCAAATGACACGTAGATATATGAAATGTTACGAGAGAACAGGCTGCTCTGATTTTTCTCGCACCGGCGAGTTTTCCCAATTCCGTGCACAACAACACATGAATGGTTACACGCTGCGCGGCGGGCGTGGTGGGAGGGGAAGAGAGGCCTGCGTGTGAGTCCCGTGCGGTGAGGAAAGGCCGGGGGAGAAGGGAGAGGAAGGAAGGGGTGGGGGTGACTCACTCGCTGCAGAACGGGGGCACGCGTCATTTTCCGACTCTTTGTGTACGTGTGTTTTGTACGTGTGTGTGCTCGCAAACAGCACTTGCCCCAACAGTCTATTGAGGCTATTCGGGGGATGTTTGTCTTTGTTTGTGCATCTTTATACAGTTGTGTCCTATAGGATTCACATAAATTGCGTGTTTTGCGTTGGGTTACTCGTCCATTTTTGAACGTGAATTGAAAACTCATTTCTTTAAAACTGCTTTTTGTGTTGAGTTTGTTGGCCTTCCCCCGCGCCTCCGATCAACACGGTTGGGTTCATTCGGTGCGAAAGAAGTTCAACATACATACAAGAGAAACTTGTGTTATACTGTATTCTGAAATATCCTAAGTCAGTCCCCTAGGCAAGTGCATCAAGTCTCTTGCGTCACGGAAATACGTAGCGGTTTTTTAATGAAACGGGAGGCTATATCCGGCCAGGTGGCTCAGCAGTAGAGCCAAGCGGCTTACAATAGTTTTTAGTTCAAGTCCTGGATGGGGGGATGTATCAGCCCATCATCTCATGCATTGATAAATGAATACCGCTTTGTGGAGAAGTCAACAGTGGTTATCTTATGGATAAACTTTCCCCTGCCACAGTAATGTGGAATTTTCACTTTTGAACAAGACATCGGTTAGAAAACATTTTCCACAATTAAGTTCAAATAAATGTTAACAATCAAGTTATGGTTAAAGAAAAAATCTAACAACCAACTAAAGGTAAAGGTGCAGCCCTGCAATTAATTACTCACACCACTGCTAACTGAAGGGCCTCCTCTGGAGGGACCTCTAGAGAGCCCCTTCAGAAGGTGTTCTGCCTACTCTTCCGCCAGACATTTTGTAAGTGGTCGGTGATTACAATGTCTATAAAAACAGCGACACGCTATGCCTTTCTAAATAAAAATTAACGCTTGACGCCGCCGTGCTCCGTGCGTTTGTTCCGCAGCGGAGCCAGCTTCTCCATGCTGCTCGTGAACCTGGGTCCCGAGCACCTGCTCGCCCTCCTGCACGCGGCGCTCATGGAGAACAAGATCCTCATCCACTCGTTGCGCCCAGCCATCCAGACCAGCGTGGCCGAGGCCCTCGTGTCGGTGAGGCCGGCGTTAAGTGTCCGGCAAGAGCTCGGTTACCCGGCATCCACTGGATGGAATGGAGGGTGGGGGGGTGACGGTTAATCAAGTGTGTACCCGCTTATCTGAGAGTTCTACTTGTGGTTGGTTCACCATATTCTTCCAAGTACGTAAAACTTTTCGAGAAAGAAACGTAAGTTTACATTTTTTACCACGATATTAGAAATAATAGAATATTTTACAGAGGTTCTCAACGGTCAGTTGTCGAGAATTCTAAGTTGATTGTAGGAAAGCAGCGGGGCCTTTTAGAGTACACAGGAGTGTACGTACAGGCTGCCATGGGCGAGACTACTCGGCAGCGTCCTGAAGTGCACAGCAAGATGCCAGTTAATAGAGAATTCTGGGTGGTGAAGTGTTGATCACAGAGCTTTTGCTGTAGATGCATTTGGAGCACGGTGTGTGCCTCACCTTCATGTGATACAGGGGTTCGCTCGGTTTACTGTGCGTTCCCTCTAGTAGAATTCGTTTAGTTGGGAATAGCAGTTTGAAAATTTAAATCTAGGAGAAAAATAGTTTGGTCACAAAATCTTAATAGGGGAAAGCTGAGTCTAGCGTCCTGACCTTGCAAAAAAAAAAGGAAGAAAAAAACACGCACACGCACGGATTCTGTCACGCTTTCTAACTTACAGTTGACCTCGGAAGTTTTTGCTTTGCGGTAATAGCATTACGTTCTAAACCGCGCGACAAAGACACGCGGTGCATGGTGAGTGATGTTGTGACATGACATTATGCTCATGTAGTGACCTCATCTCGTCATGTCGCACACCGTGACGTCATTGCCCTGACTGCGAAATTTAATGACGTCCAGGTTGGTTGACGTATTGTTTTGAAAACTAATATCACTGGTTTTCTAAACAATACGTCAATAATGGCTTCACAGCTTTTGTACGAAAATGTTGTTTGTAATAATAGGGTTTTCCCCTTTTTTATCAATGGTTTTATTTAACTTGATTCTTTTCTGGCAAAACAGGTGTTAAGATGTTAAAACACCAAACTGAAACCTTTTACAAGGAATCATGTCTGCATTAACCACAATGCTTGTTGTCAGAATGCAAACAAAAAGCATACTCTAATAATATATGCATTGTCCTTGAAACTGATTGGTCCACACCAGAGACAGCTTTCTTTTGAGCCTCGTCTCAAGCGGTGTTAGACCAGAGGACGCCAAAAGGCGTACAGCCCAAAGACAACGCACTACCAGAGTAATGAGAGCTCGGGGTGAGCATCCACATCAGGGGACCTCCTTTGCCAGTACCAAAATATGATATTAGGTTTTTCCCCTTTTTTTTCTGGCAACATAACAGCTGTTAAGATGTTAAAACACCAAACTGAAACCTTTTATAGTTGGTCATCTTCGTGATAGTTATTACCACCCCTTCATACATCAACGCTTTTGAGCTCGTTTAAAAGTGTTAAAGGGTACGGCTGTATGTATGTTGAACTTCTTTTGCACTGTACATAGCCAACTGTGCTAATCCGAGGTACGAGTGATGAACTATACATCTCTTTTTCACAGAACTCCAGCAAGGGCCGGTCAGAAAGTTACAACAACCAACAATACATAAAACGATAGGAGTTCAATGTATAGGAAAGGAAAGAAAATCACTATAAATGAATACGTAAAATAGATACAGTATATACTCTTTGGTTCTTTCGGTAAAGTCACGTAGGTGGAAAAATATATTAATATTATTTTTTGTTTTATTTTATTTAATAAAAAAGAAAAAAATATATATATTTTTTTACCTACGTGACTTTACCGAAAGATCCAAAGAGTATGGATTCCTGCAATCACGAAAACTTTAAATCAAGATAGATAAAATATGTAAATTCAAATTACATAATTACACCAATTCCAAATCTTGGGCAAGGCAGCAAAACAACAGCACGAACAGTCCCAGACCACACCAAGACAACAATAAAATTGCACATACAAAAATTAACAATTGATACGTTTGCAAATGCAGTTTCCCATAACAAAGTAGGAAACGCCATGCCAATGCGCTGACACCTCTCAGATGTCTACCACAACACCTCGATTATTGAATGGAATAATCCAGCATACACCCCAAAGTAAAATATCCTTGTGTAGCTATAGCTTGCCCATCGACGGTTTCTTGACAGTCGGTTTAAATATGCTGGCCCGGCACCAATGTTTCCAGTAATTTTTTTATGTTTCTGCGTTTTTCCATTTACATCCGCTCGTTTCCATTGTCAACGCTGGAACAACCCACCGAACAGACTATGAGCTCAGCCGCACTTTAATTACGAAATGAAATGCAGTACGCAAGCAGCGGCATAGTTGGGAAAAATAATGAATACAATAAATATTTTTATTGATATATGTTATTTATTTTAACAAGAGAGCACGAGCGACGGGAAATGGAATGGGGAATATAAATTGCGCAGACGAAAGCCCAAGGGCCTCGTTGCTCACGTTGCAGGGGAAAGGGTAGAAGGTGGACTCGCTACCCTGCTAACATCGCCACTGCGGACGGGAGCAATGATTTTTTTAAGGGGAAGGGAAGGCAGTGGGAAAAACAAAGAGAGAGGAGAGAAGGGGAGGGGGGGCTTAGTTTTTTTAATATTTATCTTCAGATGTGTGTTTGCACATCTGACGTTAGATTTGGTGGTGATTCCATTAATGCTGTTAAGCTGACATGCAAAATCAATGTAATCAGTGCTGCTGTGATTAGGATTTTTCACTAAAGGTTAGGTTTTGACATTACAGAGTTCACAATGAAACCTGAGCCAGCCGTCGTTATTGCTGACCCGTGTTCTACGATGTGGGAAAAGGTGCACGGCCAATTCAACACAGCATTTTAATTGTGGGAGAAACAGGTTTTACATTAGCAGTATATCCTTAATTATGCCATGCATCTCTGGTGAGCAGCCTATGATCTTCATATTCTCAAGAGAACCCTGAGTAACCATAGTTAATCAGTGAAAGTGGACGTGTCATTCTGCTCAAACGAGCATTGGAGTTCTGCTAATCTCCATCGGGGCAACACCTTAAGCCACTGTTGATTTTCCACAAAGTGGTACTAAATTTAACGATCCCATAATGATTATTGGCTTAATCAAACCCCTGTCCAAGATTTGGACTCACAACTTTCCGACTGTGAGTTGAGCAATCTCACCACAGCACCACTTGGCCAAATATGTATGGAGTTCATCCGGTGTTTTTACTGCTTATGAATTGGGATCAACACGTGGTTATGCAATCGCCTGTTTCTATAAATGTAGTCACAGGGGCTATGATGTCTACTTTACCACAGATATTGACGTGTGTCTATGACTGATTAACTCCTTGAAAGTATGCTAATTAAGCAGGTATGACATTCAAGCAGAACATTCAGTATGCTTTCCAAGAAAAACAAAAGGCATGTATTACATAAACTACGTGAAATAAATATTTTAGACTCCGAATTATGTTTCTTGGACCACCATTGGCCAGAGTGTTTGAAATATAAATATAATTAGTGATGATACAAAATATAAATACAACTTCCTTCATGGTTAAAAAAAGCAAACACTGTTTTAAATATCTGAACAGCTGTTGTTTTAATTTTGGACACTTGCCCTCAGAGCAGATAAAGAAGACACATATAAAGACCATTGTCCAATAAATTATCTTGTGTATGTTAATCGAAAAGGCATTGTTGTTTGTAGCATTTGTGAGAACATTAATACTTGATTTCTAATACCACAATGGCACGTTCTTGCAGTAAGCAAATTCAGATGAATTGCCAAGGGCAAATTCTGGGTTTTGTTGCACATTGGCAACGTGAAAAAGCCTTTCATCTGGTGGTGATGATACTTGGGTGCGTATCTCTTGTTGAATTTTGTGCGATTTACCAACTGTTGTAACTTGATTGAATATTTTCGGGGTCTTTGGGGGGTGAATGGTTCGCACTCCGATTATAATTTTCTTTAAAATATAGAGCCAGAATGGTGCAAAATGGCTGCCAATATGACAAAAATATTCACACGAGTTGGGCTGCTTGTGCCAATGGTGGAGTCGATTGAAACAAACTCTGTACATTTTATATTAAGTAGTCAAACTCGCAGCTGTTGTAAACAGTTGAAACTAAACGTTGGACACTTTGGTTATGGTTAGCATTTGGTTTGGAGAGGCAGACATTGCAGCAGTGAACATTAGTAACAATTACTGAGTCCTAGGATGAAACCCATCCACAATGGTCTATCTCTGTATAACTGCTGCATGTCAAATTTCAATCTAAAGCTTTCGTGACTGCAGGGATTCATATTCTTGGTTCTATCGGTAAAGTCACGTAGAAGGGAAACAACTAAATAATAAAAATAAAACAATAAAATTCTCACAACGTTTCGATTGCAACACAAGCTGTCTCTGGTGTGGACCAATCAGTTTCAAGGACAATGCATACATTATCAGAGTGTTGTTTTTTGTTTGCATTCTGACTGCAAGTATTGTGGTTAATGTAAACATGATTCCTTGCAAAATGTTTCAGTTTTGTTGCCAGAAGCAACGGGAAAAAACCCCTATTATTATATCTACTTGCGTCTACTTATATATGTATTTTAGCTGTTTATTTTGGCTATGCCAAGTTATTTCAATAGGGGGCAATGTTGCTAGGTGTCATTCCAATTGGGTAATTTGCACGTCATCTTGCATTATTGGGATGTTTGGCCAATACCAGTTACATTTGAATCTTTTTTTTGCTATGGGAGGACATCGGAGAACCTGTAGGAAACCCATGTAGAATTGGGGGGTGGGGGGGACCGCCCAAAGTCAGAAACATACCCGAGTCAGGAATCAAACCCAGGCCCTTCTTGCTGTGGGGCACAAGTGTTACTACTACCACCACCCTGTCACCTTAAATTGCTCCAGATTTCTCAACCAAAATTGCTCTAAAATACAGGGTTAACGATATAAAATAATACAAGCTTAGATCAAATAGAGTTGTTTTGTTGTTACTTGCAATTTAGCTTGCTGTGGCTTTTGTGTTTGATATTAAAGTTTCATGCTGGCATGAGCTCTGTGGGAATTACACTATCTAATTCATATTCTTTGTATATTCCTTGCCTGGCTGTCCTGGGAAATTGCTGGTTTTTAGCATGTGGATTAAACATGTTTTTAAATAATAACAATTTCCAATCCATTTAGCATAAAGTATTGTGCATTTAAATTCAGGAAAGGTTGTTTCGGACAACATAAATACAGTATTCCCTCGTTATTCACGAACTTGCTTTCTGCGATTTTGGCTGTTTGCGAATCGCATCTGGAACTCTGCACGACTGCATCGAGAGAGAAAGAAAGTGAGGAGATAAAGTGATGACAGAGAATGTGATGCGAGAAAGTGATGAAATAAAGTGATGGGATACTTGAATATTTAATTTTATTGACCAATTTTCTTTTTTTTAGATGATAATTTTCATGTATCTAATCACTTATTTACGTATTTATTTAAGGTAATTCATTTAAAAGATATGTTTCTGTAGGCCAATATCATTATTCGCAAAATTTCAAAATCGCGAGTTTTGCTACTAATGAGGGATACTGTATTTTAATTACATGACAGTTAACTAAAAAAGTCACGAGTGCATTTTACAACCCGGTCACGTGTTTTGTTCGCTATGATAACACTGAAATTGCGTGTGTGGTTATACAAAGTGCATGTGAACGTACATATGTTAGCTTATCAGCTTTAATCACCTTGTGATTGAAAGCAGGCTACTTAATGTTGCCAGATAACCGAGGCAACAATACCAGTTATACAAACATTACATTGATATTTGGTTTGACTAGGCAGAAAACTGAAACATTCCTCGAGATGCAAATGTCGCCTAATTTTCTGAGGTTCTAAGTGTTTGTGCACAGGTGTGTGTTTGTGTTCTTTCGTTACGTTGTCAGTCGGTCCATCTGCGTGAACCTGATGAGTGAATAGCAGTGCATGTCTGTGTGCTAATGGCGCAATGGCAGCGGTAGTGTAGCCGTGAGCGTGCTGCGCTGCGAACCTGGTGACCCGAATTAATTTCCTGCTCACCAGTGACGATTATCTGAACCGGTCCTGGGCCTCCCCTAGGTCGACTCAGCTTCAAGTGAGTAGGTGCTCGCTAACAGCACTTGCCCCAACAGTCTGTTAAGGCTATACGGGGGGTATCTTTGTCTTTGTCTTTCAGGTTATCTTTCCGTTCCACTGGCAGTGCCCGTACGTCCCACTGTGCCCGCTCGCGCTGGCCACCGTGCTGAACGCGCCGTTCCCCTTCATTGTGGGGGTCGACTCGCGCTACTTCGAGCTGTACGACCCCCCGCTGGACATCGTCAGCGTTGACCTCGACACCAACACCATATTTCAGTGCGTGACACTTTCTCTACACCTTTAAATAATAACAAACATAAAAACGCAACACAAATTTTTGTGTGATTAGTTTGTTGTCCTTACTGCCGCACCTCCGATTACCACGGTTGGCTACGTACGGTGTGAAAGAAGTTCAACATAACACTGTGGCCTTCGAAGGAAAAGTATACACGGGTTTCCCTCGCTTTACGCGGTAGTAGATGCTTTCCAAAAAAAATTACGCGAAAGCGCTTGTAACAGCTGCCTGCCCAGTAGCGCGTACAGTGCACACAGCAATGTTGGCCCACGTCCAACTGCGTCGCCGCATGTGAGTGAATTCAAACCACAGAGGGCGAAGTTTGGGTCGAAATAGGTTTGCCACGTATACGTCAGATCGCATGGAACCGAACCAGCGTAAAGAGAGGGAAACCTGTAATAGGTGATGATTCAGGCAATGACCATTCATAGCACATAAATAGAGAGGCCAGAAAGATAAAGTGGCTAAGAGTTAGAGACTGCACTTGACACCATGGGGCCTGATGAACATTATATTTAGAACATGTGTTTGCAAATGAACATTGTTTTTAAATTGGCATATGATTAGTTACCTATTAGTAGCTATTGAGTGACAGACACACCCTTCAGTAATCAAAAATGTTGAACTAAATAAACTAATTTGTGTTAAAAGTAAAATGATTACCGGTAAATGTTGCCGGCACACGTTATTTTTGGTGAAATGCTACTTATTAGTAAGCCCATGCTAATGCAGTACATTTGAAGAAGGAGGAATGAAGCTTGTGATGGTGCCTTGCTTGTTGTCACATGTGTGTGTGTGTTAATGGAGGGTGGTGGCTTGGTTAGCACACCGGACAACAACAATGCTTCCTATGCACATGGCCTGTAGGTCTGCTCTAGTTTATTAAGGACTCAAATTATTCCGCGAGGAAGACCATCCAAGAAAATTGGAAAAGTCACGAACCTCCGTCCTGGAAGCTGTGGCGCACAACACCCTCCCAGCCCTTGCAGCAACAGAACATCTTAGCCATGAAGTCGAGGGCAGGGAGCGGGAGTACGAGGCCAGATCGTCTACGTTGCTATTGAACCCGGCTTGAAGAATGCACATGGTGGGGTGGGGGGGGACGGACTCTCGGTGCATCACTCCACGGGATTCATATTGACGATCAGTTGACTCGGCGCACGTGCCGGACCTCGGACTTTTTGTCCGGGGAATATTTGTGCCCCCTTTTTATTGATCGTGCTTCCCTTTACCGAGCTCTTGTTAAAACGCAAAAATTCCTCAAATAATAGTTTTTTTTAAAGCTTTTCAGCATTTTTGTGGTTGTGAAGCGATGTGTTCAGGCATGACAACGGACTCTGTTGCAGCACTTTGTGATCTATGCTGGTTGGAATATTTCCTTGCGAACAGCACATTGATGTCTGCAATCAATCCATGCTAATTACGCAATTTATTTTCAGATGCATCATTCTATTTTCTATAAAAAATGTGGTTCTTTGTATTGAGATTTGTCCTAGTAATTTGCTGATATTGGTTGCAAAGGCTTGGGAAAAGCAGTTCTTAAAGCCAGTTTTTTTTAAAAGTCCATTTGCCCCATGCATCGGCTGGGATTTTAAGCGCTGCTGCGTCTGGGTGCCATGGCCAGGAAACTCTCGTCATTAGTATGTTCGTCGCGACCAGTGGAAATGGTAAATGTATTACTCCAGCGACTATGGCGCATGGACCCACTCTGCCATGTGACACATTTATAGCTTTTATTTATTCCATCCTGTTTTTTTGCTCGTGGGCAATACGGGGATCGTAAGGGAACATTTACAATTAGGATAAGCACCTTGCTCGCCTCTTAGTTTTTTTCTCAATGATTGCTGCACTTAAAATGCATAGCCAAGTACACTGCCTTGGACCAGTAGAGCGCTGTCCAGTGTTGGGGTCACGTCTTCATCCATGGGGAGGATATTCATGGTTGCAAGTTTTTCACATTTGTCATCCAATATTTATTACCATTTCGCATCTACAGATAATTCTATGAATGGAAAAGATCATGATGAATACGAGGGTGTTCCACTGTGGTGGGTTTAAATTTTATTGTCTTACTGCAGGAGTAGAAAGTGTTCCTTTGTCCGTGCCTGTGCTTTCATTTTCGTCAACTTAAACCCGTGTGGGTAGATAACTTTATTGTGGTTTTAATTAACTTCAATGTATTTTCATTGTAGCAAATTAACACACTGGCCTAGACTATAGTGTCAATAATCGTTCTTCCAGACAACACGTGGAATCGTAGCATTTGTACTCGGAATTTATTCTATAAGATTTAATGCCTAGCAACACAAAGTAGCATGGAAAGATATTTTCTTGAAATAACTCCTGAGAGACAAAACGAGAAGTGCATGGATTAGAGGACAAACAATAGTTCACAAAATCAGTCATATCCGTTGTTAAGTAAAGCTCGTGGTTGTCTTGAGTGCATAACAACCAGAAGGAATTACATTTGATGGGTAGGACTCGCAGTAGAATTGTAGCCAAGACAAGTAATATAATGGAAAGGATGACTAATTTAGGACATGAAATAATAAATTGCTGGTACTATGTAGGAAAGGATGGCTCGTAACTGTGCTCGATCATCGTGGCAACAACATGAAGAAATGTTTATCCAACAGTAGATTGAAAATGGTTGACCAATTAGCAAAGACCAGTTAAAAATAAACATCAGAATAATGCAAACCAATGTTGTTTAGCTTTAAATTAAACCTATTTTATTTACCAGATGAAGCCCACTGCGCTATAATTTATTTTTCACAGGTCACCTGGCCACACATGATATCTCATAAAAGTGGATTAAAATGTACGGAAATCTACAAGAGGAGCCAAATAACCGAGTTGCATGTTTTTAATCGTGGAGGCCAAAACCGGGGGACCCATAGAAAACTCCACTCGACTCTGGGGAGAACATGTAATCTTCATATATACAGGAGTCAGGGTTGGGATCGAACCCACACCACTACCTATGTACCAGGCAAGGGAAATAAGATCTCGCCACCATGGCACCCTAGTATTAGGATGTGCCAATTATTTAATAAATGTTGTTCCTGATCTGCCTTCATTAGTTGCTTACTGATGGCCCAAATATAATTTTCAAACACCTTTGGTTGGCCACACATTGATGCTGAACTTTGACCACACCACGACTGTATACACTCACTGCTCAAAATACTTGAAAGACAACAGGTTATAAAAATGATAAACACAATATGTATGTTGAACTTCATTAGCATCATACGTAGCCAACCGTGCAAATCGGAGGTGTGGGGGAAGGACAACAAACTAAACAAAAAAAATAAGTTCTAAGGAAATTAGTTTTCAACTTAGGAAGCTCCAGTGGCTTCCTAGTGTCGTAAGGAAGAGCGTTTCAGACGGCCGCAAAGCATTCCAGACGGTGTTCTTAGGTCTGTTGTATTCCCCTGGAGCATCCGATTAGTGTTGTTGTGAGATACTTCCAGTCTGCGGACCAGTTTTAAGTGGGAGCCCCTGTGCAGCGGCGAGCTGTATAACGTTAAGTGGCGCGCTTTCAGATTTACTTCTGCAGCTGACTGCAGAATATTAGGCAACCACTGGAACTATGTACTTTTATATCTAGATGGAAAATAATTTATTCAGAATTGCTTCTTGTGTTTCCACGTACCATGAGTTTCTCTCCCCTTCCCTAGTGATGCGGATTCTGATTGTGTGTTCCAGTCGCATTCTTTCAAAATTGTTTTGGTTTATTGCTTGTACTTGTATCGGACCTGACTTTTTAGCCTTCTTTATACGTTCTTTGATCATATCCTGTAACTCATTTCCATTTGGAGCAACATGCCAAAGTGTATATGATCTGCTATAACATATGGATCAGAAGCATTGACTTTGAGAAGGAGAATAGAACAAAAGCTGAGCAGTGTGCAACAAAGCATGGGGAGATGCACGTTGGGAATTACTCCGATTGGCATGGTTGGCTACGTACGATGCAAAATAAGTTCAACAACAAACATACTCGAAGAGACAGAATAAAAAAGCATGTGGATCATAAAAAAAACGTCAAACTCGGAGCCATCGTACTGGCTGCTAAAAAAACTAAGTGTGCTAGGGCAAGACACACGCCCGATGGACAAGACTTGCGATGAAATATTAGCCAAAGCGGAGAACATGCCGAAGAAGATGAAGAAGACCTCTAGAAATGAGTACGTTTGGCTACATACGGTGTGAAAGAAGTTCAACATACATACACGGGTGAAGTATCGGAATCTGCTCATGCACAGCAATGAGACGGATTGTGGCTTCTTCGTTTGACTGCGAGGGATGGTGTCGCCATGAGGAGGCGTCCGCCCAGCAGTGGATAGATGTTGGCTGACGATGATGGGGGATGTATGGCTTTTACTCTTTCATACAGGAATGAGGAGAAGAAGGGCACAAGCTGGAAGGCCTTGCCAAAGAAGCCCTGTAAGATCCTGCTGGCCGGGCTGACTCGTCTCTACCAGGAGCTACAGAGTGAGTCCCAACCAACCACTCTATCAGTTTACGACATGCTTTTCATTAAAAGTTTAAAAGAATCTGTAGTTCATAAATTTAATTTCTCATTAATATACAATAACAATTTACATCTCCCTCTGTTGTCGTTTCGCAAATACGTCGTCACTTTATTAATGCCACGACTTGACATACGTCGCCCCAAACCCACACTTACGTCGCTGACAGCATCATCCATCCTTTCTCAAATCCGTCACCTGATCCTTTGCCTCTACCCACCCTGTAAATTGCTTCGGTTTACGTTGTTTAGATATTTGTCGCACCTTTCAGCAACACAACCCCAACGTCAACCACATCAATTCCATACACCCATCCATCAAATTCACCATGGAAGTGGAAAATGATGGCAAGCTACCATTCCTGGATGTTTTGATCAAGAAGAGACCTGGGACATTCCGTCTACAGGAAAGCCACCCACACGGATTCCTAAAGCCCGACTCCCACCACCATCCGGCCCAGAAGAACTCCCTCATCAAAACACTACACCATAGGGCCCGCTGCATCTCCGACCACCGCCACCTAGCCAGTGAACTGAAGCACGTACACCAAGCCCTCAAGATGAATGGATACTCGGACCGCACAATCCACAAAACTGTATCCCCAACCATGGGGAGACAACCATCTGAGGACCCAATCAAAACCATTACCTTGCCATACATAGCAGGTGTTACCAAAAGATTTCCAAAATCTTAAACAAACACAAGATCCAGGTCTGATTCAATACAGTACACAAAATCCGTGATTAGATCCCAACTGTGAAGGATGTGATCCCTGACATGCAATACCCCGGTGTCTACAAACTAAGTTGTGTCTGCGGCAGCAGTTACATTGGGGAAACGAAACGACATGTCTTGGACCGTGTTCGCGAACACAAGGCAGATTTGAAACACGGCAGAACCAATACCTCTGCAGTGGCTGATCATTGTTATAACGCAGTGGGCTCGCACGATATTGTTTTTTCCGAGACCAAGGTACTCTGCAAACCTTCGGGCTACAATCAAAGATTTGTCCATGAAGCCATCCAGATATATAAACACAGAGACAATTTAAACCGAGAAGATGGATATAAGCTGAGCAATCATTGGAAGGACGTTAATAACCAAGCAAAATCGTAACTTGCTGTGGTGCTTCCATTCTTCCCTGCCGTTTGGCTGTTATCTCCGACTCTCTGAGTTGCATTGCCCTGTTGGGTGCCTCTGCATTAACGGGATGGGGTGTCACTAACATGGCCACTTCTGCTCCCTTAGCCTCGATGTATCGATGGTTCTGGTCGCATTCTTGGAGATCTGAAGATAACGAGAAAAAATGTGGTTCGTTTTGCCCCTGCGAATAATGGGCAGATAACTATGTTCAAACCTGGGAAGCTAGAAAGCATGTTCACAAATATAATATTGCTACTGTTTGTATCTCGCATGACAAGTCGTTCCATGGTGGTATAGCTCTGATGACAGTTAAGTCCAAATTTATAACAACTGCCTGCCCAGATAAAATGTTAAACGAACATCTTAGGTTGCAGTGTGCACAGTGATGTTATCCACTTGTTGCGATTTCACCCGCATGAAAATCTATGCATCGAGGTTAAACCTGCATTCCCTGCTGCGTGAAGTCTATCCATATTCACTTGGTATTCATACAATGGCGTTGAGTATCAGCGTTCCGTCATGTTAAATTATTCTCATGAATGTCAAATACTTGTATCTCTGATTTTAAATATTTATTTGGAAATTATAACGAAACACCAGAGGTTAGTAATTTCATTGTCTTTAATCCCATTTTTTCCAAGGAATAATTAATCAATCAATATGCGGTGATTGAAAGTGGTTTTCGGCTATTTTGTCCCGCTGTAAAAATGCCAATATGCCATTTTAACGCGTAGGTTTTCATGAAAAATATTAATTAAAAAAGTTATTTTGAGTTGGATCGCATAAATATAAATGGAAATGTGTTGTTAAAATATAAATGTGTCGTGAACCCACCCAACACCCCACAACACGAAGAATACACGGCTATTCCGGCGACAACGTCGCGGCTCGGCATCACAGTGCCTCTGCGTTTTGCGCTTTCCCCGCTGCCGCCGCCGCCAGTGAAACGACCGCTCGGTTTGTGACCGTGGTCTAGAGACACGGACGACGTTCAGGGGAGATCTGCTGGCACGATAAGTGGTGCACGCCTGATGTGCTCGTTGCACGCGTTAACCCGGAGAGCGCTCCACTGGGCCGAGCCGCCGCGCCATCTAAGCTCCCCCCCCCCGACTCTTCCCCCTCTTGCACTTCCGCTGGATGAGCTCCGTGAGCGGCTCAGCGAGCCCGTGAACTGTGGCTTCCCAGCGCAATTAATCGGTCGCACACGTTCTCACCCTGCCTCGCATTTCAGCTCGAACCAATTATTTATTTGCGGGGTTGTGAATTTGGTCGCAGGATTATGTTGTGCTGAAAGTCCTTTAAGCGTCTTCCGTGGTCAGATGAGTGCGGCGCGGCACAGCAATGTCGCGTGCATCCGTTGGCAGTCCTGAGCTGGTGGTGGAAATTCCCCATTCCTAGCGGGGGAACGAGTACCCCTGTAGAATGATAGGTCTTGGGCTTCATTTTTCCCAGCCCCACAGGGAAGATATGCCAAGTCGACCAAGAATACAATACATCAATTTGGAAGTAATATTTTTGTAAATGCTATTTACATAGTGGAGTACTGCATTGTGGGATGTTGAGCGGTGGCGGTGGCAAGGATGTCATCCGGCAGTGGATTGGCTATGGCTGCCGATGATGGTGGTGAAATTACATTTTATTGGCAGGACAAGGAAATTAGGTGAGGGTACACCACGTACTGTCTCATTCCGTGTACTGTATTAGACTGCTTAGCCGGTGCATCTCAAGAACGTAGTTCGTCGTCGACCGGCTCAGAAACTGCGTTATAACGGTGCCTGTTCCACGTTGTGTGAAAAGTTTTCCTGAACAGAAGAATCGCGTTGTAGCGTAAACACATTGTATGAAAACGCGGTAAGCGAGGGCTTTCCATATTTTAAAGACGCACAATGTCTGCTGATCAGTGCCTAGGCTTTACAATCAACATTTGCTCTGCTGCTCCATGACTGTAACCCTCCTCACCCCTGACGGTTGCAGTGCAGCAGCAGAGGAAGGATGACTCGCTGACGGACGTGGCGGGCGTGCGCTGCCGGAGTGCACACACCCTGGAGGTGGAGATCCAGGAGGCGTTCCTGCGCTTCATGGCCTCCATCCTCAAGGGCTACCGCTCTTACCTGCGCCCCATCACGCAGGCACCCTCCGAGAAGGCCACGGACGCGAGCTCGCTCTTTGACCTGCAAGGTGAACTTTAACTTTCAGATCCACGGAATCTCTGTCCATATCCCCTCGGTTGTTTGTCGGTTGGTTAGCTTTCAAAGTTGTTGTGGCTGATTCATTCTCGAAGCGAAACAGCATTCACGATTCATGAGGCCAGACCGGGCTTATCCGGTCATCCTCGCGGCAGCGGCTTTTGGCTAGCCGTCGAACAAAGGCAGTCACTGCATCGCACACTTTCAGATGCGCTTCTAAAGCCGTCTGGAAAGCTCTTCCTTCTGATATTAGGAAGCCATTGGAGCTATGCAGTTGTAAATCTAGATTGAAAACTAATTTCTTGAGAACTGCTGTTTAGTTTGTTGTCTTTCCGCGCACGTTCGATTAGCACGGTTGGCTACGTACGGTGCAAAATAACATAGATCCATGCCATATCCAACCCTGAGACCTGCGTAATTACCGGGCCAGTTCAAACTATTGAGGCAATGTTGCCTCCATTGAACTCAGGATTGCAGATTCATCCTCTCGCTGACTCCATCCCCAGGACGTGGCCACTGCATCGATGAGTTTAACATATCTGATTGGAACTTAAATAAAAATTGCACACTGGCGAAGCATTTTTAAACAGCATTCTTTGATATATTCGTTTCATGGGACATTGCCTCTGAGTCATTTTAAACTTCCAAACCACTGTAATACACAACTCAAAAACACACACCTTGCACCACCATTTATTAATTGTGCAAGTGTTGACAAAAGCATTGCCTGCGCTCTGCCTTGTGCTCTGCCTGCGCTCTGGAATGTGATTTTTAGGGTTTCTGAAGAGCCGTGACCGGTCCTATCACAAGTTTTACACTCAGCTGACCAAAACGCAAATGTTCATCCGCTTCATCGAGGAATGCTCCTTTGCTGGTGATAAGAATGCCAGCCTTGCATTCTTTGACGACTGCGTTGAAAAGGTATTTACCCACCTCCCTTTCCCACAAACGGTTCATGGGTTAAGCCAGGAAGCTTCTCCAGTGACATAAAATTTACACATGTGTGCAGTGTTTATGAGTATACGAGGGGGTGGGTGGCCAGCACCACGCCCGGCCGCCTTTGTCTCCCCACTGGAGATGTTCACGCACCACACCAGTTACTCGTTTGAGGCTGAGTCGACCTAGGGGAGGCCCAGGAACGGTTGAAATAATCGTCACTGGTGGTGGCCGTGAGCGGGAATCGAACTCGGGTCGCCGGGTTCGTAGCGCGGCGCGCTAACCACTACACTACAATGCGTTACGCTTCTTCCACATGTGCGGGTCACATGACAGATTTGACGTCACAGCTCACTTGCTGTGCAAAAATATTTGCATTATTGAGCTCCCCACCCGCCCCCCCCCCCATAAAAAAACCAAAAGTGTATTTTTATAATTATTGCATGGTGTACAGTCTGGAAAGTACCCACATGGCAAATTTCAAGCTTGTTGCATGTCGGCAAGTACGCTAAACATTTTGAACAGACACACATTCACAACTTTGCCTTGTATATGTATAGAGATTAATTTATTCATTCTGGTAGTGTGTCTCTCAGAATAACATTTACATTGCTTTTATGCATTTACTCCATGCTTTATATTGGGTTTTGCAGAGTCATTAGTTAATGTGATACATTTTTAACAAGTCTCTTCCCTGTGATTTGAGCTGTGCTTGTTTATTTTCATTTATCACAGCTTAGCACGTGTTGTTTTCGTCTCAATGGATTTCCATGAAGAACGCTTTACAAATGCGTATTATATTTCATTCCATTGTCCTTGATTCTTTACACAGCAATGTGCGCTGGCAGCAAGCCATGAGAACACTGAGTAATGTAAATAGTTGGCTCAAATAGCAGTTCATAGGCGTGTAACAATGCATTAGTTCATCAATGTAAATTGATTCCTATGCTCACAATACATCCATCATCTGATTGTGCACATGGTATGCTCCTGTTATACTGAGACAAATAGAACAGATGAAACTAGAAACACTCCTGCTCCCTGGCATCCATTGGCACTTCAGGGTGCCACGGTGGCGAAATCTCAACTACCTCGCCTGGTATACAGGAGGTCGTGGGTTCAATCCCGACCCTGACGCCTGTGGATTTTTCTCCGGGTCCTCCGGTTTTCCCCTCCACAATTAGAAACGTGCGTTTAAAGTATTTGGCTGTTATAAATCTCCACATGATGACTCACTTCGCTGAGCTTTCGTTTGTGGCCAGGTTGCTTCTGAAAAAGAGCTATACAGCTCAGTGGGCCTTACCTGGTAAAATAAAAATAAATTTCGATTTAAAGCTTTCGTGACTAATAATAAAAATAAAACATAATAAAATAGTTTCATTTTTATTATTTCCCTTCTACGTGACTTTACCGAAAGAACCAATAATATGAATCCCTGCAGTCACGGAAGCTTTAAATCGAAATAATAAAATAATAAAAAGAAAACTTTTATTATGTTTTATTTGTATTATTTTATTACTTCCCTTCTACGTGACTTTACCGAAAGAACCAAGAATAAAAAAAAGTTTAGTTTTCATTTCACTCACCCACTCATTGCCCTTCAGCCATCCTCCCCCTCCACCGGGTGATCTTACTTCCCACATCAACTCCTCCCATCGACAAAGGCAGCCCAATGCACTCACGTGTGAGAAATGTTGTTATTGTTGTGTTCACAATGTACAGCTCATGACAAAGTCAAAATAATCTGTTCAAACGACACAGGCAAAATAAAAAACAATGCAAATGGGAAGGGAAAAATTAGTTGGAATCGAATTGTTGAATCGAATCGTGACCCCAAATAGAATTGTCAGGCCAACCGTAACATGCCCCACCAGGTAATCTGTGTTGTTGCTGGTGCTGCTTGTACTGCTGCTGGTGTTGCCATTGCTGATAATGCTGATGCTTGTATCACTGCTGCTTTTGCTACTGGTGCTGCTGCCACTGTTTCGCTTGCTAATGCTGCTGTTGTTGCTGGCGTCACTGGTGGTGGCATCACTGATGGTGCTTATGCTGTTGCTGATGGTGCCGCTGATAGTGGTGTCACCGATGGTACTGCTGCTGCCACTGCTACCGCCTGCTAATGCCGCTGCTGGTGCTGTTGCTGCGCCAGGTCGACGTAGAGCACGGCGAGGAGACGCGGCTCGTCGAGTTTGACGAGTCGCTGCGCGGCGAGCACACGGTGCTCGTCATGCCGCCCGAGCCGCCCCCGGCCCCGTCGGGCCCCAACTCGGAGCCGCTCGCCTCCTACAGCTACGACGGTTTTCCCGCGCTGCAGCCCGAGCTGCTGGAGAGGCCCAACGGGGGCGCTGCGTACCCGCCGAGCCAGGCGGCTCCCAGGGCCGCCGGGGTCCCCGGTAGTCCCGCACTCGTCACGCGCAGGACTCAGCAGGTAACAATGGCCCGCACGCGCACCACCTCTTTCGGGGTTGTTCATGCAGCTGTCACCAGCCTACGCTTTGACTGGTCACCATTGAGCACCATTCTCAATTGGTGCCATGCTGGCGAGATGTTAACTACCTCGCCTTGTATACAGGAGGTCGTGGGTTCGATCCCGATCCTGACGCCTCTTTATTGGAGTTTGCATGTTCTCACCGTGGTTCCGTGGAGTTTTCTCCTGGTACTCCGGTTTTCCCCTCAACATTTAGAATCAACGTACGTTTAGAGTATTTGGCTGCTATGAATGTCCACATGATTAGCCACTTCGTTGAGCTATCGTTTGTGGCCAGGTCGCTTCTGGAAAAGAGTTATATAGCTCAGTGGGCCTTGCATGGTAAAATAAAAATAGTTTAATCCTGTGCTAGGCACCTCGCGGTGGTGATGAGTCGGAGTGTGTCGGTGACCACCAATGAAAACCACTGAAATTCTTTTTAAAGCGCTGTTTTTTGCGCTTCTGTGTGTTTTGTCAGTATTTTGGTGAGAGTTAATGAGTTAATGAGCGGAACATTGCCGAACAACACGTGGTAAAAGCGGAAAGCATTGTCGGCAGAACACTTGAACTCGCTGTCGGAAAGTTGCGTGCTGAAATCCGACTTGGAGATCCAATGTTAATTGCTCTCTGCCCCATTTAGAGATGCTTTTGAAATTTGGTTAAATAGGTAAAGGTGCAGGGCTGCTATTGCTCGCCTATGCCACTGCTGGCACAAGGACCTCTACTAAAGAGAGCTCTAAAAGACCCCACTTGTGGGTAATTTGGCCTACTCATCTATGCCGGCCACATATCTTGGTAGAGTTTATTATTAGCCCATTATCCTTCAACGATGCAAAACTCTGTACTTGTGGGAAATCACTTGTGATTGTCCTTTGGTGAAACTGACCCTGGCTATCGGGTTGTGGAATTTCCACCCACTCGCTCAGGGTTTCCATTGGATACGTATGCTGCACCATGGTAGCTTGGGCATGGAAACACTGACTTAACTTTGACCATGTGTTTTAATTTTCAAACTTTATTTTTCAATGTCAGTCCTATAGTCTGCTATCCATTATCCCGAGTGTTTACAGGAGGCACTTTACACACGTGCATTTTAAGTATCATTCATTCGTACTGGTGTAACGAGCCCATATCTATTCCACCATTTGCCACTAAGTGACGGTGACGTCACCACTGCGCCTATGCCAGGCCAGGTGCACCTTGAGGCCACGTGAAGTGTCGAAGGCACGCTGACAAGAGGTTACGGGACAGACCCAGGTGCCATGGGTGTGCTGACTCAAATGACTGGCAGATTGCACCAGCTGTACCTCCTACTCTGCCAATTTGCTGCATTTTAGTCGCCCAGCGCTCCGCTTGTTGTGAGCGAGCCACACACACGCGCGCCCCTTGTAACCTGACCATCCCGGCTGCAGGAGATCAAGCTTGCGCAGAAACTCGCTCGCAAGTTCTCGGCGGTGCCCAACCTGTGGGCAATGTGCCTCTTGGGCAACTGCTACAGCCTGTGGTTCATCTGCCTGCCGGCATACGCGAAGGCGCGCCACTCCAAGCTGCGCGTGCTGGAGACGGCCTACTCCGTGCTGCTGCGCATGCAGGAGCACCGCCTCGAGTGCCCCGACGAGGTACCCGCCCGGCTTGCCGAGCGGCGGCGTGTCCGAGCGTGTCCGAGCGTGTCCGAGCGTGTGTCTTGAAAGAAAACCCTAAAAGCGTTGATGGTGTCGATTGTGATTCACGTTGCACGCGAAGAGAACCATTATTTGCGAGGAAGAGAAACGTAAATGCCAGTGGTTTGTCAGATTAAATGAAATGAATTGGTCTGTTTGATCCGATAAATCGATTGATCCTAATTTGACTTGTGTATAAGCTAGCATAGTGGGAAATTAACCATATCTAGCAGTACAACGGGGATCCCACTTACAATCAACAGCCCCTCTTCTACTGTCAGCGTGGCCTGGCTCCGCCCCCCGGCCACGCCCCCTTTCTAGAACCTACCAGCGGGTTCTTGGTGTGCCCCTTCTGTGACCTTTCCCATAGATCCCCCTCTGGTGTGTCACGTGGCCTGTTGACGTCAGGGCGGCTGTTAGCCGTAGGTCCCCTTTCCTGCCAGCAGCGAGCGCTATGCTGCTACATTACTATTCTATGCCACTACACACGCGTAACGAGTATGCGATTCTTTACTTGCCTCTTATAGAGGCCAGCACAGCAGGGATATTAACAATAACTGGAGTGAGACACCTTGCAAATACCATTGCATTCGTTTGGATAGTATTTTTTTTATTTTACAATTAAATCAGTTGAAATTTTGATTGGACTTCACTACCGTTGCATATGCCCATCTAGTACGTTTATTTGGTTGTAGATTGTAGTGGGAAGAAGTCTGCCCGTGAGATGAAAATGAATAGACTAAATGTCCCTGGTAAACCTTGGACCAGCATGACCTGAACAATGCACGCAATGTATGTCTATTTTTTTCTTCCTTTAAACGTAATTATTAGCAACATTCACTCTCTGCACTATTAAGTGCTCACTCGTGGTGAAGGTATTTTTCTTCTATCGCCTGTAACTAAAGCTACCTTTTAAGTTAAAGACGAATAATTACATTTTAAAACAGTTACTTTCTTTTGTAAAGTACGTTCAGCCTGTGTTTCTACACCACTGCGAGCAGTCAACGTAATATTACACAGCCACATGTTTTGCGTGCCCTCGTGTGTTTATGCCACGGTTATTGGATTGTGTGACAGCGGTAATAATTGATGGATTGCCCAAACACAAGCAAATTGTGTTCACGCTCAGTGAGCAAAAATGCCTTGGGTTGCATTGTTGAACTGATTGAAGCAAGAAGTCGAGGAGAATGGCCTGGCTTGTCGACGAACCCATCTTGATTGCGACATTGTCCCGTGCCCCACAGGTTTGCTACCGCGTTTTGATGCAGGTGTGTGGACAGTACGGGCGCCCTGTCCTTGCCGTGAAGGTGCTGTTTGAAATGAAGAAGGCCGGGATTCATCCGAATGCCATCACCTATGGCTACTACAACAAGGTGTGAGGGGAAGGCTGGTCAGAACTGCACAGTAAAAATATATTTTTAAAATAAATCTTTTATCAGCATTTTTACATTTCAAAGATTCCCTCGTATTAAAAGTGTAGAGGCGCGCACATGAAACAAATACAGCCAAGACAGGATATAAAATACGTAGTTGTGTCAACGAAGAACAACATAAATGCTCATAGTTTCGTCGGTGATTCAATGAAATAAATAGTTCTTGGTGAACAATCGAGGTTCAGCTGTGCAAGAGAAACTGTAGAGGGACACGATGTGAGTGTTTGGGAAACGATGCTCTCTGTTGATGTGAATTAGAATAGAGGAGTATGGCGTTATTTGGAAAGCTAGTTTGACCATACCACGGAAAGCAAACACATTTTTCACACGCACTTTTTCAATAAATGGGTAATGTCTGAGCAGCCCTGCAGCAGGTCCCCAGGGAATCGAGAAGTATTGACCTGGCAAACATGTAGCAGCATTTCTAGACTGGTGTTGTGTGAATGGTCATGAGGAGAATTCTGCTCGACACTATTTTACTTTACCATTTATGCATAAGTGTCACTTGCAATGGCAGAATTCAGGAGCCATTGCAACATTATGGTTTTTACGCAATCAACTTCTGCCAAGATTTATTCGAGGTCAAAAAACAAACTTATCGTGTTCTTTGCCATATAGGAATAATAATAAAAAGTTTCCAGTTTGAACACGTAAATTTCCTTCTCCTATGTGATCTGAACTGTGTTTGCCAAGAATGTTTGCATTGCCAGTGGGGAATACCACGGGACGAGTATCTGCTGTGAAGGGACTGAACAATAATAATGGTCCCTTAACGTCTCAATGTTGGGAGTATAAGTTCGACGTTGATCTTAGAAGCAGAGGTCACCTCTCAGTGGAAAGTCAAACATTACGTTATTCTATGCATTAATAATGTTCACTGTTTAGTTTTGTTCGGAAGCCTATTTATTTATTTATTTGGTTAAACTGAAGCATTGTTGCTGAATTCAAATACGTAAGTTTTTTTTCATACTGTCAGCCACTTAAATGTTTACCATTGCTGCCCTCTAGTGGAGCCTTAGATTAGTTTTTTTTGAAAGCTCCTTTCACAATCGCAACGGATTTTCGGTGCATCACGATAATTTCTACGCACACGAAATGTGCTTTTAGCAATGCTTATGGTATCGGTAGTAGTCGAAACAGTGTGGGTCAGGTGGTGTACATACGTGGAAGTTAGAGCAGATGAAACTTGCAGTAGTTTTGCGTGGAGATTAATGCGCACGGATTTTTTGTAGTATTTGATCTCACTCTATCATCTTCAAAAAAATGTAGCGCTTGCTCTGGGAAACGGTGCACCTTAGCTGTTTTGTAAGAAACCATTTGAAAAGCCTGGTAAAAAAATTGGTATAAGAAATGCATTAAATAGGTATAAGGTGACATCTCTCTCAAAAACATCACATTTGAAAATAACTGGGCACTGAAAACAATCGTATTTTTAAAAGCATGTCGCTACTTACGATGGTGTCAATGTAGCGCCGTAAAGATTGCCCGACATTTTTTTGTATAGTGCAGAGGAAGGGAAGGCATGGCCATGTACGTGCGGTTTGCTGCCTTGAGAGGTTACGAAACCAATTTCTATTCCTTGGCCCATGTTCCGGGTCACCTGCCGGCATGGAAGGCACGATACAGACAGATTGAGTGCTCAGGTCCCACATCACGAGGTGCCTCAATTGCTTGGTCCTCGTGACTTTTCATTTGTGAGTATTTGAGGACAACTGAGTGTTACCCACCCCTCTTCCCCTTTCATAAACATAGATTGACAGGGCAGGACAATGACTTTTTTAATAGTTAATTTTACCGAGAAAATGTGCGGGCCCGTTACATCACGTTGCGACGCACGTACGCACCCATCAACCTAAACCAAACCAGACAGGGTCCCACCGAGAGGGGATAGGGTCGCTTTTTTCAGTAAGGGGTGAAGGCATGGCAAGGGGAGAGATATAACTGAAACACACCTGACATAAAGGAAAGAAAAACATAAAAGGTGACCTAAATGAGCATGATAATTGGTTTTTTACCCTTTTATCTGGCAACAAAACTGACACCTTTTTTTACAAGGAGTCATGTTTGCATTGACCACAATACTTGCAATGCAAACAAAAAAACACAACTCTGATAATGTATGCACTGTCCTTGAAATTGATTGGTCCACACCCGAGACTGCTTTTTTTAGAGCCCAGTCTCACGTGATGTTGGACCAGATGATGCCAAAAGGCGCACAACTCAAACACAATGCACCATCAGAGTATGAGAGCTCGGGGTAAGCATTTACACCATTGGAACCTCCTTTACCAGTAGCAAAATATGATAATTTGTTTTTTACCATTTTATCTGGCAGCAAAACTGACACCTTTTTTACAAGGAGTCATGTTTGCATTGACCACAATACCTGCGGTTGGAATGCAAACCAAAAAAACACAACTCTGATAATGTATGCACTGTCCTTGAAATTGATTGGTCCACACCCAAGACAGCTTTTCTTAGAGCCTGCTAAATGAGCATTATCTCTTTCCACCCCTCCGAATCCATCTCATGTCTAATCAGCAGTGGTTATGCCCCTTAGCATCAGTCCCTGTCTCCCGACCCTTCATCTTGCTAACTTATTTCAGGTGTTGCATAAGGGGGGGCCCATCTGACCTCGAATTCCTCCCTCTTTTCCCTTGAGCTTATGGCTCAGGTGTTCCATATCATTATGTGCCATAAGCACTCTGTACCGTTGTTTCCAGGTGGGTGGTTCGTGGTTAGGACTACGCTTTTTTTATTAGACCAAAGGTTGGCGCGGCATGTATAGTATTGGTAAAATGTGCCGTCTTTCAGAATCAGAATATTTATACTGCGGGGAACCAATGAGCTCTGAAGCTATTTTTTCAGAGATGTCCAAATATGTACGCGTAGCTTCAACAATGAGGTGCAAAGTCACTGAGCTTTGCAGGGATATTCAGCTGTGCAAGACCATTCCGTTTCTAAACCGTGGGGGCAATCACGCGCGTTCACATGTTGGCCGGGATCATAATGGCAGATTCAATTTCTCCGTGCGAGGTTGAATACTTACGGTTGGGCGGCGGGGGGGGGGGGCATGGTGGGAACCTCGCCGCATTGTGTTCCTGCTGCGCTCGTAAGTGCACTGCATTAGGCTGCTCCTCTTGGGTCAGTGTTCCTGAGTATACGTGAATGACAAGGTCAGCTCTTTGCAGGTGTAATAGAACGATTTGCCTCTGTGCTCGAAGCATGCCCCCCACAAACCTTTCAACATCTTCATTTACGATTTGCCTCCCGTGCATTATCGTCGATTTGCGCTTTCAAATGACGTTTGTCCCGTATCGCAAACCTGCGACTTTTCTAGCCAGAGCAATTACTTCTTTAGCACTGAGGACTATTGCTGCATGTGACAACTTCAGCCAAGCACAGGTAAGACAGTGTCCAGTGCTGTTCACGTGCACAATGCCAGAGCCGGGTATACGCTTAGTTTAGAGTTGGCCGTCTTTCTTGGAGTGGCTCTGGGTTGGAGCCTCAATCTCTTGATGCCACCGCGAGAAGATTAAAATTAAAGTGTGCTCACGGAACTCCCTACTTGCTGGGGTGACTCCACGTAGGGTATTCGTGTCCAAACACTTTGCACAGTTACTGAGTTGCTCTGTAGCATAGCACTGGGTGTCTGCATGGGCACAATCAGCCAACACTTGACTGCTAGACGCTCTGCGGGGCATCCACACTGCCTGGGGGTGAGGAGTGAAGGCGAATGGATGTGCAGAAATCAACTGCTCGTGAGCAGCGCGTCCACGCAAATACCCGTCTTTGATCACGCGCGGTGTCAGTGGGTGCAACTCTACAGCTTCTGCTGTGGCCAGGAGCTGCGCAAGATAGGGGACCACAACTGGGTCTTGCGACAGCTCGCTGTGTGACTGGAGGAGGACGAAACTCCACTGTATGTCATTTATGCAGCGGTGCGGTGTCTCCGAGCATGCCAGCGGGATTATAAAGGCTTGAATTCTCTGGATAACGAAGCTGCTCTTGAACTATAAAACATGACAATGCAATTATATATTATTTCGGTCACTCATACTTAATGCATAGTTTCACTTATCTTATTTCACTTGCTGAATAAGTACGTTTCTGTGGCAGTTACCTAACTGTTCCAGTTCCAGTTAGGTAACTGTTCCACTTACCTAACCCAGTCCGACTGAAACTAAATATGAACGGTGCTGTTATATGCTGCAGAAACATGGGCAGTAAGGAACAAAAAAGAGAGTGGTTAAAAGGGCATTAGATAAGAATCTTTTGGAGCCTTAGCAGGGGTTACCGGTCGATCAGTTTTTAATGTACATGCCAATATCGCCCTCAATGAAGTAGGCATCAATGCACATTACAGCAGAACAGGATTGGTACATGGGGGGCGTACAGCAACAGGGATGAGAAAAAAGAAACTCCTCCGTAGCTAACCGACTGAGCAAAATAAAGTGCAACCGTGCACAAAAATAAATGAAATTAATAATAAGTCAAGGCATTTTAGAAAGGTGAGGAGGAGGCTCATTGACACGGGGACTATTTAACGTGATTGACTTGAGTAATGAGGATATTTAAACGTTGCGTACAACTGTGCTGAATTTCAAGCTTCATGAGAAATAATGCAACTGCATGGTAAAGGTAGCAAGAGCATCGATTCTTAGATTTCAATTGAAGTAAAAATCACATTTTTACAGCCCTTTCTCAATCCACTTCTGAACGAACGCCTCCCAACACCATATCGGTCGTGGGGGTGTTTTGACCATACTTCACCGCGCTGTTCAGTGCCGGTTGGTAAAGGGAGCCATGGCCAGCTCTGGTGAAGATACCATTGCATTGGTGTCAGTCACGGCCGGGAATCGAACTCACGTTTTTTAAAATGCTTTTTTTTTATATTTGACAAGAGGCCGATAAAAGGCGAGAACCATAACAAGAGAGGGGGGTGGGGTGGGGGGACTGGTACAGAAATTTATGGACCAAAGTCCGAACTTGGTGCTCGTGGGTTCTGGGAAGGGGAGAAGATTGGGTTCACTGCCCCACTCACATAGGGACTGCGAGCGGGAACGTAGTTTTTTTTTTTTACATGAGTAAGGGAAGGCAAGGGAAGAGGAACAAAATTAAAGGGAAAAAGGGGGCGGGGGAGTTTGGGGGGAGGGCGAACTCAAGTCTCTTAATTAATTGTGAAGTGCGAAAACTTCTGCGACACCGCTCCGACAGCAGCTTAAAACTACCCCGCTATTTATTCCCCTTTCGCTAGGCCCTGTAGCGTCGAACTTGGGCTGTTGTTCGCATTTATTTTGTTCCCCCCCCCCACTTATTTCGGTGACTGACGCTTTGTATCATGCTCGCGTTGCGTTGTAATAAAACCTATGAAAATACTACTTATCCCACTTGATTTGAAGCTTTCGTGACTGCAGGAATTACTCTTTGGTTCTTTCGATAAAGTGACCAAAGAGTATTACTTATCCCGCTCTCAATATCGATTGTTTGGGAAAAGATGCTTTGGGTTCCCAAGTCGTGTTGTTGACCGTGGCCTCCACTTGCAGGCCTTGTTGGAGAGCACGTGGCCAGGCGGCAACCGCGGAGGGTACTGCCTCTGGGTCCGCCTCCGCAACGTTGTGCGCGCCGTCGCGTGCTTCCGCCAGGGCATCAAGCACCCTCGCCGACGGTCCTTCTCCAGCGTCTGTGGTGAGCGCCTTCCCCATGTAGAGCCGAGCGCCGTCACTGGCCTGGTCATTGGAAGATGTTTTAATTTGGTAGGCAGCTGTAACACAGATGTTGGTCATTATACTTTTTTTTTTCCGTGTATTACTTGTTGAGAACCTTTGGGGAATGTCTCTTTTTACAATGCACAATACTATCCTCTGTTTAGGACACTGCATTTCTGTCAAGATTATACGAGGTAGAAATAAAGCCATGCAGTTGCTTGCTCACGCCGATGATGGTAGAAGGGCCTCCATGAGAGTGATCTCTTAGACAACTCCTCTCGAGCTTATTTGGAGCCCAGGATGACAAAAGATTCTGATTCTAGATTACTCTCCCAGGATAACCTACATGACTGCTCGTCTTGAAAGGTTTCAGTTTAATTTATTAGGTATAACCCTGTGAGCCATGCGGCTCTAGACTCGGGTGCAACCGCAACAAAAATAAAAACGTGAACAAGAAACATCTTAAAGTGACTATGCGCAACAGAAAAAAATCCTGGAAGAAACAGCAAAGTCTTCCAGAAAAAACACCGCATTTCAACGCTGTGTGCACAAATCCCAGTGGGATGCAAGTCAAACACTTTATCTCACGACGAAGAACCTGCCGATCGACTAGCAGTGGTGTAGCGATTTACACTTCTGCGTGGAAAGGTGGGAGGACATTAAAAACGTGCTCTTTATTCAATCTGCCATGCCAGGAGATTAAATAGAAGCTCACTCTCGATTATCTGTGGGCAGATTATCTGGGTTGCGGATTTCACCAGGCTTGCGAGAGAAAACAATCTACACGCACGATTCAATTATTAGCTGCTCCTTACTAATAACCCTGTGCCGATATAATCAAGGGTTGCCTGTTTAGTCAGTGCTATAATTTGTTGCTCATTAGCAGAGACTCGAGTGGACATGCAATTTTTGGACGTTAATTGAGCATGCAACAGCTACTAAGAGCAGCCATGTGATCTGCCACAGGCATTTTGAACGGCAGGCAAGTTTTATAATATCAACTTTGAGAAACAATGACGTATTAGGTTTTATTCACAGCTGCTGCATCGGAAAACTTCAGACTCTTGGGGGTTCATTGGTCGATGGGTAGTTGAGACAGGGTAATGGCGACAGTTCAGTGTTGTGACGGGAACCTGTTGGGGCTGAGGAAGAAAGAGGGGAGTTACTGGCTGCTGCAGGAAACCTTGGTTAGCGTGACCCTTAAATCCCTAGCTTCATGTGATACATTCCAAACTCACATTGCATAGACAAGTCTAGTTAATTTTAATGAATGTGTTGCGTTGTCACAATCTGCAAATACAACAGAAGGGAGGTAGAATGATCCCCGGTTTCAGGAGAGAAAGAAGGGCATTTACATCACGTAGCAGAGCAGTTCCAGCAGAATGACTGTGCCAGGAACCAGATTGTACTGGCTCGTGGAGACCAGATTCCACTGGGTGACGGAAACTTGTTTGTTCGAATCAGAAGCAGAATATTTCTTCTGGAGTTATCCGATGAGCTATAAAGTTATTTTTCACAGGTGTCCAGTAGTTTGGAGAGAAGATAACTCTTCCTATGACATTGAAAATAACTATTAAAAGCATGCTCTTAGTAACCATAGCTCACACCGCACACAGGCGTGGGTAATAAACTTCATACTTGTGTGACAGTCTGACAGGCCTCACGTATACCACCTCTCATATGCAATACATTTTTTATACAATGGAATGTAAAAGGTACGAAACCTAATAAAGGGGATGCAGTTGGGACACTGAAGGATAACAGATTTAACTAATTGATGAAGTCACAAATTATGTCATGGCCCTTTTCCTGCCTTCCACCCTCCCTGTTGTCACCATTTAGTGTAAACAGCATAATTTTTCTAATGAGTCTGATGACTAGCATGCTGTGTGATGATCAGTGGACAGGGACCCATTTGGCTGCAATACATTTCCACGTGATAAGCCACTTCGTTGAGCTATCATTTGTGGCCAAGCCACTTCTGAAAAAAAGCTGTATAGCTCAGTGGTCTTTGCCTGGTGAAATAAAAAATAGTTTCAGCAATAGTTTTAGTTTCAATATGCAGCCATTGCCATTCTAGTGATAGTGTAGTGGGTTCTAATCAGGCGCACACCAAGACTGGGAGGCAACACGTTTATTCACTAACACAACCAACACTATTCAACGTTCCAAAGTTAACTATGGACATTCCGAGCGACTATGTACATTACAGGTTAACTACGTAAGGTGGTGGCCCCCGTTCCTAACCACCTAACCACTTGAACGGATTCTCTATATGGTTGAACTAGAACTGCCGACACGCCGTCGTGTCGTTGCGTACTGAAGAGCGAAGATCGGAGAAGACGACTTCTTCCCGGGTTGAACAGCCACGCTCCCTCTCGGGACTCGGCTTATAATTCCTGTGGCGTGACCGAGCTCCGCCTCTGGTCACGCCCCCTTCTCGATCCTTCGCGAAGACTCTGGGTCCACATCACGTGGCCCGCTCACCCCCTTCTGGGGGCCCCCCGTGCCCCCTCGTCCGGTCACGTGCTCTCGCGGGTTCACCCGGAGTGTCATGTCCTGACCTGACCTCCGTGACATCTGGAATCTGCCCCCTAGTGAGCCCTTGTGTATAGTACACCCACTGTAGCCATTGAACGGCCCATTTATGTCGTTACAGTAGGATTGAGCCAGGATTGAGCCAGGATTGAGCCAGGATTGAGCCAGGATTGAGCCAGGATTGAGCCAGGATTGAGCATGGTTACATTTGGTATAAATAACCTCCATGACCCTGCACGGTGCAAGGAGGCCCTCATTAAGCAGTGGATTGACAAAAAAGGGCTGTTTGTGTACATTTATCATTGCGATTGACCCCACGATCCCTGTTTGTGGATTTCAAGACGAAGCCGGGCAGGACAACAGCAGCCACGGGAGTACGGAGAGTTCTGGTGACATCCCTCCGTCTGGACAACTGCCGGCCAACTCGAAGGAGAGGCCCATCACATACGTCGGTGACATCGCTGGTAAGAGCCACCTCTGGCGCTGTGTTTAAATGCTGTTGATGTAGTACAACAGCAGTGTCAGAAACACAATGTATATTTGGAGAGAGACTGCGAAATGAAATTGAATAACCAAGAGGTGCCTTATCGGTGTAGTCAAAGAATTTCCATCCTCAAAAAGGAATATGGTGATACTCATCTCTCTGTTAAAGGGCCTGAGCCATTTGGGAAAATTCCACATTTTTCTGGTAGGAGCCAGTTGTAATATGGGATGAACAATGTTCATAGACTGGTTAGGCCATTGCATTCAGTCGATTACAAAAAGTTTTAACGTGACGTTAGATAATTAAATACATAATAAAAATATAGTTATGTTTTAGGTTGTTCTGCAGAATTCTCATTAATGTTGAGCATATATGTAACTCGCATTTTTTCTTACATTGTAGAAGTTGCAGAGCTGTCAACACATGTCGGCCATGTGGCAGAAGATTCTGTGTTTGTAGAGCCCACAGTTCCGGGCACGGACGGACACAAACACCTTGGCAATGGAGTGAAACGAGATCAAAAACCCAGCTCCACCAAGAACCGGACAGAAAGCCTCAAACTCAGCCGCTCTTATTCTGACATTGAGGACAAGCGAGCGGGAAGCACTCACCGTGAAAATATTCACCCTTCCCATGACAAAGGACTCGGCGGCAGCGGAGAAAATTGGCGCGGAAGTTCAGAAACTGTGGACAGTTCCGATGTGGAGTTTTCCCGGCGTGAGAACACGAGACACAAGCGTACGAGTTCAATGCCCCGGCCCGTCCTGCGGACGAGCGTCTCCGTGGGCTGTGACCCCCTCTCGCTGCTTGCGGCCGAACAGGAGGACAGGTCCGTCGATGGGCGCTCACGGCTGCCTAAGGCCATGCGGAGGCTCACGGAGGACCTGCACGACCTTCAGCTGTCGGCCGGGAAAAGCGGCAGTGACGGCAAGGCGTCGGCACATTCTCGCGCTCGCCGCGGCCTCTTTCGGCGGCTCAGCATGCCGTACCTCTCCCACCAGACCCCGAGCTCCCCGGAAACGCAGGCGGCGGTGGCTCGCTCGCGCACACTGCACACGCTGCCTCCCAGCATGGAAGGGTCGCGAGGACGTCTGCAGTCTGTGCCCTGCTCGGCGACGGGCAGCGCCGGAGCGAGCTCGCTGCCCGGCACGCCGCAGTGGGGCACAGCGCGCTTGGACGCCCTCAAACAGGCGGCCAGTGGGATGGCCGGAGTGGCCAGCAAGCTGTACAATAGGATCGGGACCCTGGGCACACCGACCAAGGACGACGGAAAGGCAAGTTCTTCGTAAATGCGTGTCAAGTGACGCCTTGATGCAGTGCTGACAATCCTGGGTGGTTGAATACGGGCAGATACCTGTGGTTTAGGCTGGATTCTCAACTGTAGTGAGTTCATGGTCGCAGGTTGGTCATTGATGATGAGATGCATAAAAAACACATGAGATTAGAATAGAAGAAGAAAAAATCCCACTTAATTTGACTAAATTCCAGCTTTGGAAAATGATAAATATTGGTTCGGTTGCCATGCGATGAACATTTTGGTTTGTTGTGAGATATGTAGGAATATGTGCCCCCTAATGTGGATTTTTTTAAAAATCACTTTAAGTGATCTCAGAAGAATTTCTGCTCATGTGGGGAAACACATGAAGTTTACTCTGCTCTTTGACTGTTCCTCATGGATACTCGAACTCAGGACGTGATGTTAATAGCCCAATTTGGATAATTATCGGGTTAATAATTATTTAAAAAGTAGCTTGATGCTTGCATTGTCATCACAGTTTTCATTATTCATCGTTAACGTTATTAATTTGTGAATTAATTCTTGAAGAAAGTTTGTCCACATTTCACCGGATCACTTACATAAGCAAGCTTGGCATGTGTTTAACAAAGTAAAATATCGTAAATAAATTATCAGGAATGAATTTCCCAGATGTGTCTCTGACAACAGCAGAAATGTACATATATTCTCATAAAAAATGTTTTACATTATCAAACGCACAGAATGTGCCTTTGGTAATGTTCAAACATTTGCGGAACAGCACACCAATTTAACGTTAGGAGCAGCCCACCTGTGAGAATATCGGGATAACTGAAGACATCTGCTTTATGATGGTGAACTCACTAGCTGGCAGACTAGGCTGTTCCCTTGTTTTATTGAGGCGATGCGCGGGCCCATTATATCGCGTTGTGACGCGCGTACACAACGTATACACCAACACGAACTAAACCAGTAATACAAGGTCAGGGTATGGACAGATGGGGAACGGGACCTGCTGCCCCAAACCAGGTGGAGTCCCACTGTAAGGGGTGAAGGTCGTCTTCTTTTAAGTAAGGGGGAGGGGATGACCAGGGGAGAGAGGAATATCACCACAACACGCCTGACATGAAGAAAAGAAAACACACGAGGCGACCTGAACACACATGTTTTCCTTCCACCTCTCCGAGTCTGGCTCCTGTTTAATCTGCAGGGGTTATAGCCCCGACTCTCCATCTGCTAACTTATTTCAGATGCTGTTTAAGGGGGGAGGACCATCTGGCCTCGAATTCCTCCTCATTTCCCTTAAAATTATGGCTCAGGTGTTCCATACCAAAGACTATGTTGTTCTTTAGTGCCTTTGCGGTAGCCTTGCGCTTTAAGACTTGTGCGAATACCACACGTACTAATTATATCCTTTGAACTTATGGACCGCCAGCACCTGTTTGATAATGAAATTGGATGTCACAAATGGAAATCTAAATTTGTGTTTAGCATACCATATATTCCTCGCAATAAATCTTAGAACAGTGTTTGATCTCTGTTTCAGTGGAATTTTGTAACCCCCCTTTGTGCAGGTTAAAAATTCAAATGGAAATCTGTGTAGGGGTGCCCATTTTTATAATAAATTGACAATTCTCATAACATCACCTTTGCTTTACTTTAAATAGTTTATAAAATAATTTGCCATTTTATATTTTTCATTCAAATAATATGTTCCATCGGTTACGTGCACAAAATTCGCTATAGGGAGCTGCTAACACAAGTCAGAAAGTGATTAAAGTGTCCATTATTTCATTTCAGCTACGCCACGGTGTGTTGCGTTCATGAGAATAGGATTTCCCCTTTTTTCTGGCAACAAAACGGGTGTTAAGATGTTAAAACACCAAACTGAAACCTCTTACAAGGAATCATATCTGCATTAACCACAATACTTGTGGTCAGAATGCAAACAAAAAACATACTCTGGTAATATATGCATTGTCTTTGAAACTGATTGGTCCACACCAGAGACAGCTTTCTTTTGAGCCAAGTCTCAAAACGGCGTTAGACCAGAGGAGGCCTTTTGGTTTCAAAGACAATGCATATATTATCAGAGTATGTTGGCGTCCTCTGGTCTAATGTGAGTTACATATATGCTTTTAGGTTGTACTTTGTGTGTATAACTCTGTCGTGGTCATTGTTGGTCATCGCTTTATGGTGGATCACAGAGCTGGTTGAGATCCACCAGAATGGATGACATTGCTTGACGTATTGGCCACCGTCGGCTTACAGTTCTGTCAGGCCACTGCTGGATGAAGGTCCTAGTGCAGCCACTAGGAGACACACAACTTAGACAAATCATTAACAACTTGAATCATCGAATGACAGCCCTAAAATGTGACTGAAAGATGCGTAAATTACTGATTCTTTTTCACTCGCTTGATGTTATTCAAATGTTACAATTTTCCTGCACATTTTAAATCAAGTGTTCTGAGATCATGTTCTCATCTTTGCTCAACGAAAATGCGCATCCATTTTTGAAAGAAATATAACAGTGTTACAGTCATCACTCGGCCAATAACAGTGAACCCTATGGGTCCAGTCCAAGTGCACGCCATGCAACCTGCCCCTGGACACTGTGTGCAGGAGGCAGACACTGTGGACATGTATGACTGTGTTTCACCACTTACACTGTGAACACGTATGACTGTGTTTCACCACTTGTGTGCAGGAGGCAGACACTGTGAACACGTATGACTGTGTTTCACCACTTACACTGTGAACACGTATGACTGTGTTTCACCACTTGTGTGCAGGAGGCAGACACTGTGAACACGTATGACTCTGTTTCACCACTTACACTGTGAACACGTATGACTGTGTTCCACCACTTGTGTGCAGGAAGCAGACAGCGCAGAGCGGCGCTCCGTGACGGACTCGGATGCGGCAGAGGACGAGGAGGAGGTGCGCGACCAGGCATCCAGGTCCAACATTCCGCAGATCGTCTCCAATGGACTGGGCCAGAGCTGCAGCAGCCTTGCCAGCATGGCCAGCACGGACGGAGGCAGGGCTCCCTCCAGCATCGGTGAGATTTGTGCGGGCACCACCAAAAGCGCAAAGCTCTTCGCGCGCGCACGCCCATCCGCCTGCAGGGGGTGCTGCTGCGCTGAAGTCTGCGGTAGCTGAAAGTAAAATGAACTGGTTTGAGTGATGCCTTCATGGCTTGAAACAGCTGCACGTGACGAACCCTTTCCTGGTTCCGAGACATCTGCAAGTTGCAGGGTGGGTGTCCCGTTCACCGTTGAATCTCGGAATGCACAAGCAGAGTTAGCGTTAATGTTATTTAGAGAGGCGTAGCACCGCTGTTTTTAAAGACATTGTACTCACCGCTGAGAAGTGTAGTGACACGGCCGCACTCTGATAGCTGGCGCCAAACTGTGCCACACGCCCTCACGAATTGCATTTTACTTCCGGTTTCGTTCTGATGACGTTCGAAAAACTTATGACGTAGATGTACTGCATTGGAATGGGAAATGGTTAACTAACAAGCATTGTCGATTTTCCAGAAATTGTAGCTCCGCGTTTAAGATCAAACTAATGTGCTGGGTAGAGGTGTTATACTTAGCGTTGTTGACCACCCTAAATTTTGTTCTCATTTTCAAAATATGGAACATTTCGTTAATTGCAGCGTGTTTAAGTGGTGTAGAAAAACAGCATAACTGAACAACAAAAACACCCTCTACCTTTGCCTTAATTTGCCTTTAGGTAGAAAGGAGGGCATTCATTTGCTCAGAAGAAGAAGAATAAGGGTTTTTGTTGAAACACCTGCCTGTCGTATATGTTTTTTCTTTTAAGACTTAGTGTTAATGAGGAAGGTGAGGCAATTGTTTGGTTTGTGCTTATACACACACCTGCAAATGGCCACCCTCATTTAAATGATGGACAGCCACGTTTGTAGACCCCTGTGGTTTGGTCTTAGTGACAGACTGTATGAGCAATCAGCACTTTGTTTAAACAATGAAGCTCATGACCCACATGACCTATATATAGCTAGCAGCACCCAGCACTAAGCAACCAGGTAGCTGACACTTGGCACACGGCAACTCGTGATCCCATACCCACCCGCACGCGCCATGCACACGCAATGCACACGCCATGCACATGCCATGCACACGCAATGCAAAGACCTGCCGCTCGGGATGCCATCCATCCGCTGGTTCCAAGCAACAGCTATTCTCATATTCATTGTGTGTTTCTTATCGGTACCATCTACATATTGGTATTCATCGCACATCGATGTGTGTTATGATAATGAGAACACGAGGGAAGTTTTCGCGGTGTAATCGTTAACACTTTGGTTTTGCAATCTAGAGGTCTCTGGTTTGATCTCCTGTTGCGGCAGTTGAAACAATGATGAACGTTTCTTAACACCCCCCCACCACCACCACCACCACCACCACTCTGCTCACCCAGCGGTATAAATGTGTACCAGCACAGTTGATCGGCAGGTCACATGTGGTGGGGTGAAGTGCAGGTACTCTCTCATCATCCGTGATGTGGAAGAGTCGGCTAAAATACCCTCTGTGGAGTTCCCTTTAGCAGAGTCCCTTCCGGCAGCAGTGGCTGAAGCAGGTAATTCCAGGGCTGCCTTTTTAAATTAAATGACTTCTCACGTTGATGCGCACTGTGCTGTATTTGCCGGTTCTTGTAGGGAGTTTTCCATCGACCAGAAATATACCGGTTCTGACTGTGGACAGGGCAGAGCCTGGGTCCCCTCACTATGCCAGCAGCTGCAGCATCAGCCAGAGGCCCGACGTTGAGGTAAGTCCTACAGCATCATCCAGTCTTCCCGCTCACGCATGCGTAGGATGGTGCTTATCTTTTGTTGACCAAACTCTGAGCGAGCGGCGAACATTTCCTTTTCCTTTGGTGCGGCCATTTTGCTCCATCATTTTCAGCTCTGGCCAATCCACTGCTCGATGAAGGCCTGCTCAACCTGCAGCCATATTTTCCAATCCTGAAAAGTAATAATTCACCAAGCAACTGCACACGAGATGATGTTATTACTTCCATCTTCTCGCTATTGATCCTCTTGGATTCGTTCCATTCTCTGGCTGATAGTCTGTCATTATTTTTGACCATCCACCATCCATTCTTGTCTGCCCAAGCCCATTTACCCCATTGAACAAATTTAGTTGGCTTCAAAAATTGCTTCTGACTTTAAGATTCCCATTGAGATGATGGGCCACCGTTATAATCCTCTGATTGTGAGCAGACTGCTCTGCCACATGTAACACCCTTTCTCAATTCAATTCCACACTATGCAAGCCATGACAGTTATTTGACCACGTTTCATCACGCCGATCAGTGCAGGTTGGTGAAGGCGGGAGGCATGAACAAGAGAACATAGAAGTACAGTGCAACGATGGATTTTGCTTTACTCTTCTATGCTGCCCACAAAGAAGAACCACAGCCTCTACCACCTGTTTATGCATGATGAATCCCCCATCCAATGACTTTTCAGGCTCAACATTGCTGATTTTCTGCGATCTGACGAGATCACGTGAGATCCGTGTAATTTCAGACACTGAAGAGTATTTCCTGAGTAAAGCCCATTGAGCTAGGAAACTCTTTTTTAAGGGGCGACTTGGCCGGCAGTTAGCAGCAGCAGCAGAGAAAAAATTTGGTCTAAGACTGTACAACCCTCTCAGCGAATGTGATTTTGAAACCACAAACTACTTGAGAGATTCTTCTTTTTCTTCTTAATCCTCCTCCGGCTGTTGGGCACCATGCTGGTGACGGCATCATGCGCTTCTACAGCCGTCTGAAATGCTCTTCCTTTTGATATTAGGAAGCCACTATAGCTATTCTCGAGATTGAAAACTAATTTATTTAGCGTTGCTTTTTGTGTGCGTAGTTTGTCCTTCCCCCGCACCTCCGATTAGCACGGTTGGTCACGTACGATGCAAAATAAGTTCAATGTACATACATACAACATAGATGCATAACACACGATGACAACCTGAAAACGCGTTAGGAGTAGCTACACCGCACACCTACGAAATCCTTCGAGGTAAACCCAATCTCTTCCTTCTCCCTCTCTCTCCGTCTATGTGATGATCTTCGCGACTGCTGATGTCTGGGCGCCAGGTGCGCATTTCCAGCTGCTCGCAGTGCCACACGTGCGAGGGTTTGGTGTACGACGAGCAGATCATGGCCGGATGGACAGCCGACGACTCCAACCTGAACACGGCCTGTCCCTTCTGCAACGCCACCTTCGTGCCGTGTCTCAGCATAGAGATCAGCGACCGCAGGAGCTGCGGGAAGTACGTGTGGCGAGATGTTAACTACCTCGCCTCGTATACGGGAGGTCGTGGGTTTGATCCCAACCCTCACGTCTGTTTGTATATTTGGAGATTGCATGTTTCTCTCCCCGTGGTCGTGTCGATTTTTTGTCAGGGTCCTCAATTTTTATCCCCTCCACATTGAGAAACATGCATAAATAAATGTATACATTTCCATATGATAAGCCACTTCGTTGAGCTGTCATTTATGGCCAGGTCATTTCTGAAAAAGAGCTATATAGCTCAGTGGGACTGTCTTGGTAAAATAGAAATAGTTAGTCTCTGCCGTTCTCTTTTTTTTCCCTTCCATTCTATAAGATAAACATACATATTTGGTTTATTTAGAACGTCGCCTTTACAACACTGGTGATCTGATGCCACTGTTGTTTTCTCACTGTGCATTGCTGACTGATGACCTTGCACTCACTTGGCAGTCCTTTCAGAGCAGGGGTCGGCCGGCCACCAAAGTAACAAGAGCCGTTTGTTTCGAAATCGGTATAAAAAACAAACGATTGCATGTGAATACTAGAGCCGGTGGTCCTTAATAAATAACGTGATGAAGCGGGCCCCTAGAGAGCCGCATGGGGCTCCGCAGCAGCTGCGGGTTGCCAACCTCTGATCTCGAACAACACGCTCTTAGCCCAGATCCGTAATCAGTAGTGCATGAGCAGTTGTTGAATTCCCGGTACAACCAATTACGATTGATTTGCCTCACTTGAACGCACAAACTTTTAATAAAATTCAATCATTTAGAATTTGTATTAAGTGCAGTATCAGCTGTCATGTCTGCCCTGAATACACAAATTAAATGCATTCTTCCATTCATTTGTAGGCTGCACATCATTTACTGCATTTTTTCTGCTCTAAACTAATTTTAGTCTGGTCTGCTTTCCTTTATGAGTTGAGGCTTTTTAAAATAATTTATCACGTTCGTTTATTTTGTTCCATCTTCCATTCATTGTGTTAACAGCCTTTCATCTTAAATGTCGTGACCTTCAGATTTTCTTAAACATATTTATTGCAGATTATAGAAGACATTTAGCGCATGATTTATTTTCCCCACTGCCTTTCTCATTTATAATATCAAATGGTAATTTTTGCTTTTGGACATTTTAATGTTTTTTTTCTTCTTCTATGCGCTACGTACAAATTCACACGTACATTACATTGCAATAGTACATTGTGAGGTTTTATCTCATGGGTTGAAAGACAGATAGGAAACAACCATTGCCACAGCTGCGTCTGCGTGCCTCGTTTTGGCTGTTTTCCACCTTGCAGAAGCAGTAGCGAGTGGGAGCTGGAACAAGCGGGCAGTGCAGGACCGCCTCGCAGCAACGAGCTCATGCCACCCGTCACCCCCACGCTCACCCGCAGCGCCAGCACCAACACTCCGCTCACCGAGGGCAAGCCGGAGACGGAGAGCGCCGCACCTGGCCTCGCGCACATCCACGCCGTCCCCACAGGCAGCCTGCCCAATATCTTCCACAGACGAATGGTGGGGCCGGAACACTCGCACGCAGAAATCTCTCTCTCGCATTTGTGCTCCTCTTGATCGGGTGAACTTCACTCTTCTGTTCACTCTGTGTTACGACATTACCGGAGAGGATAGATACATTGATTGGCTACTTACGGGGGGGGGGGGGGGGGGGGGGCGATTAGCACGGTTGGCGACATACGGTGCGAAAGGTCAACATACACACATACATGTGTACAATAACATGAGTTGAAAAAAAGCAATAAACAGTGAAAATGTCATTTTATGCCAGGTTTACAATGAACAATGACTTCAATAGAAAAAATGTTGAATACAATTTTGTGCAATAAATGTTAACGTAACGTCAACGTATACGGTAAATGTTAACTTAAAAGGTAAACAGGCAATTATATAAAATATTTTAGAAATGCTTCTGTGGAAAGTCTTTGAAATATTATTAGTCTTATTAACATCAAATTGCCATCATTGCAAATATAGGGCGCTTAAAAATACTATAATTTTTCATATGAATAATTAAGAAAATAGCCTATGTATAAAGCACCGTTCACTATGTAGTAAACAACAATATTAATGTACAGTCCTTGGAGGAAGGCCTCCTCACGTGTCAGTTATGGTGTTGTTTGACCATACTTCACCACGCCGGTCTGTGTGGGTTGGTGAAGGTGGGGGGAGGTGCCCAGGACTGGTTTGGATGTGCAGGGCCTCAACCACTAACCCCCACTCGGGGTCTAATGTGAATGAATATATAATTAGAGATCTTTACACAAAAAAATAATACACATTGACATTTCTACATCACCTTCCAGAGGGGGGCCATTCGTTACTCAAACAAGCAAGAAATTGTCCGCACGACTGCATATTACCTGTAATTTAAAGTGCTCATTAGTTAGGATGTCACATTGCATGCAAGCGTGCACAATAACCACAGATCATAAGTGCAACGAATCGTTCTTTTGAGCCACCAATCTACGTGGTTATCATTTCCTTATTTTCCCCATGGCAACCCTTTATTGCCCTAATATCCTACTTGGCTCTGTTCCATCGTCCTCATAATATATAAACAATTATTATACATCTGTGTTTTGTAATGATTTATAGCTTTATACAGAAGCAACTCTGTGACCTGTTTCGGCGGACAAATACATTCTAAGGTCGCACTCATCACACACAAAGTGCTTGCCACAAATCAACCGTAGTACCTTGCGGATCTCGTCAAGGAGCATAAACCATCACGCGAACTCCGGTCACCCTCGCAGCAGCAGCAGCGGCTTTGGGACTAGCGCGCTTTCAGATGCACTTCTGCGGCCGTCTGGAACGCTTTTCCTCACGATATTAGGAAGCCACTGGAGCTATGCACTTTTAAATAATATATATTGAAAACTTATTTCTTTGAAACTGCTTTTTGTGTTTAGTTTGTTGTCCTTCCCCCGCACCTCTGATTAGCACGGTTGGCTACGTACGGTTCAAAAGAAGTTAAAAATACATACAGCGGTGTGTAGTAAGTCACAGTTCACGTGTCAACATTAGTATGAATAATAATACACACAATTTACAACACACACATATTTGACAAATCGAACGCACTTTTAGATGGAGAACTCTGAGGCGCGTTTCTCGTAAGCCAGCCGGAAGAGGTGAGAGCCTGAATTAGTGAGAGCCTGGACAGGCGAGGATGAACAGGTGAGAGCCTGAATAGGCAAGCTCTGAGCTGCTTCTTGATGGAGGATAAAGCTTGGATGCATCGAATGTGCGAAGGGAGAGAGTTCCAGATGGCTGGTGCAGCTACGGAGAAGTGCCGTAGCTCAGCCCAAGATGGTACTGGCTCTGGGTACAATGAGAAGATTATTCGACGTGCTCCCTAGGATGCGGCGGTTTGGTGTCGTTGCTGGGTGGAGCAGGGTGGAGGGCGATGACGGGAGACCTTGAAAGAGAGCTTCGTTGCAAGGGATAGAGATTTTTGTACTGCGATCTTGATTTGATGGGGAGCCGGTTTGAAGTTGTTCGCGAAGTCACGTGGTTGCGCCTCTTAGCCAAGGACACCTCGAGAAAGGTTGAACCTGTTATTTAAACTTGCTAATGTCGGTACATTTAAATACATGTCTTCTACTGCAGAGTTATATTTGATCAATGCATGCTTATCGCACATCATCATGTGTGTTGATTAGAGTTGATTATTACGTTACTCAAAGCTATTTTTTTGCAAAACCTGTGTGGTCTGGAAATAAGGCAGGTTATTTTTTCTTACAAATGTATGAGCTTCACTGATGGTGGATTTGGCTGAACATGATTTAATTATGCGGTACAAAAACAATTACGTACTAATGTTGCCCTTATGGATATTTTGAGCACAAGGGTTTCTTTCTCATGTACTTTTATAGTTAAACTTCTGCATAGATCAAGCTGGCTTAAAGTTTTAAAGAGATTTCAGTGCCGCACATCACTACCATTTGGAATTTCCCGCCACAGTCGGACAATATCCATATTCCACCGGTAGAGAAGTCTTTCGGATGAGCATGCAACTATTTCACACCATTTGGCTTTAGCATCATCACTTGGCTAATTTTTTTCTTTAAAATGTATATTTGTATAACTGGGACGGACTTTGGTTGTAGATGGTTACCGTAGACATCACAACCGATTACAGGCCCTGTGATCCAAGCAGCCCCTGTTGCTAAACAGTGCATTTAATTGAATGGCCAGTTGTTATGGCACTGGTCATTAGTGATGTTCACATCTACGGTGGTGCTGTGTTGCGGTGTTGTTGTGTTGCAGTAATGATGTATATCTTTGACCCCCAGGGCTTCCTTTAAAACGACACTTCTTTATTTGTAGGAATTGTATTGGCGTGGAGCAGTGATGCAGAAGCTCTGGACCTGACCACCTGAGTTCGATTCCCAAACGCGGCCAACTTTAGTGGGGAGTAATATTTGAACCGGTCCTAGCCACCTCCAGTCTGGATGATGTACAAGTCAAACAATTCCTGTGGTATTTCTGTGAAGGTTGTTGCGGTTACACTGCATAAATCTAATGTTGTACCACCTGTTGTTTGGCAATGTCCGATGTTTCGTGACACCTTCTGGGAGATTCTCCAGAAACTGAATTCAGTTCCAACCTGAGAATACATTTATTAATCAACCCCCTTGACTGGCGTCGCATGGAGAGGCCGTCGTGCAGGAGTGGATTGACAAAAAGTCTGTAAAATGTCACTGTACTTTATTGACACCAGTCGTGCTGGAAACATTGTTCTCGTGCCGGCGCACAGGCCGACAGCTCGAGTGAAGAGGGCCTCACGGCAGCGACTGCAGCAGCGGACGCGACAGGGCCCCTGTCGGTGCCATACCTCTCCCCGATGGTTCTGCGCAAGGAGCTGGAACGGCTGATGGAGGATGAGGGCGATCGCACGGTGTGCTCCGTCGCGTTATTGCAGCAGCATCCCATCCTCTTCTGGAACCTGCTGTGGTACTTCCAGCGCCTGAAGCTGCCCAGCCACCTGCCCGCGCTACTGCTGCTGTCACGGCTCGGCCACTCCGGCGCACAGGTGTGTCAAGTCGGCCAGTTTATAAGCGAGCGAGCTTATTAGCTGGTGATCGAGCTAGTTAACTAGGGAGCGAGCTAGTTAGCTAGGGAGAGAGCAAGTGAGCGAGATAGGGAGTGATATAGTGAGCTCGGGAGCGAGGTAGTTATCTACGGAGGGAGCTAGCAAGCGAATGCCCATTGCAATGCTGGATTTATTGATTGAGGTTGACTGGGGAGAAAACAACTTGATCGTTTAGTGGAATATGTAATGAGTTAAACAAATTAGCATTGCAAGACCATTTAAAATGCAGCCAATATAAGTACTGCAACAAAACAACGGATGCATTGTAAAATCTATCGTCTGAAATTAAATAAAGAATATAATCTAATAAATGTGAAATGGGATTAAATGTTAGATAAAAATGAAAAATGCAGGTGTGCTCTGTATAAATAAAGATGAATTAATGTACCATGTTATGAAAGAATCCAGATGTGAACAAACCTGTCCAAAGCAGTCCTCAGGTAACACTGGTCATCAACAACAACATTTTTTTTTTTTCTGGCCTGGACTTTTGCAGCTGTTTTAGACTAATTTCAGGGTGCTGATTCCAAATCTGATCTCAGATTTGCTCTATCACATGCTATCGGCATACCCCATTTTCATTGATTTTACCCGAAATTAACTCTGTCACTTATGATTGCAAGTTGTTGTGAGTCAGTGACTGCTTTAGTGTTAAAATATGGTGCTGTATTTTTAGGATAGTGTGTGTATAATAGAGTTTTATGTAGATATCCACATTTATTTAATATTTTTCTTCTGAATTTTTTTTTGAAAATGCAATATTTGATATCTCAAAAACTTGATGTGATAGACAAAAACTGATGCCAGATTTGGAATGAGCACCACAAAATTACCTTAAAACCGTTGGAATACCTTATGCCAGAAAAAGTGTGTTGACCAGTGTAATAGACAATATAAATAAATGGGTTTCATGAGAAAAAATAGTTTTTAAGGTACAGACATTGGCTTACATGTGCTAATATTAACAACGAATTGCATGCAAACAAGAACCACACCCTGATGCTCAAACAATGATGCCATCGTAAATATAGCAGAGTTCAAAGGAGCAAACTGAAAGCCCGATTGAGAAAGGCTGCAAACTATAGTATCCGCAAACACAAGTTTGCGAAATTGCACGCCTTTTAAAGGCACTTTTTTTTAAAACCTCAACAGTTTGACTAAGCCAGAGAATGTCTTTCCTAACAGTGGCCCGTAGTGACCCTGGTGTGTGTGTGTGTGGAGCAGAAGTGTAGCGGTTAGCGCGCTGTGCCGTGAACCCATTGACACGAGTTTGATTCCTGCTCACGGCCACCAACACCGGTGGTGATTATCTAAACCGGTCCTGGGCCTCCCCTAGGTCAACTCAGGCTGAAGTGAGTACCCTGGTACAGTGTGTAAAAACACCCCCTCTAGGAAGACAAAGGCGGTTGGGCATGGCGCTGGCCACCCACCCCCTTGTTTACCGTACCGGCCTTCATAGGTGCTACTCGCTAACAGCGCTTGCCCCAACAGTGTGTGAAGTCTACATGGGGTTGTATTGTTTTTGTCACACAGACTCCGCAGAGCGGGGGTCCGCGGGAGGGAAAGCGCGTGCTGGTGCACACGCTCTGGGACAACCGCAAGCTGCACAAGGACCTGGAGCAACCGCTCTATGTCCTGTGGGACACCCTCGGTGAGAAATGCGTTTGTTCCCGCTGCCAAAGCTGTCAGCGCAGGCACTTGAGCAAATTGAGTTTCAATGCCGTCAATTTTCTGTCTTCATGTATTCTATCCCGTGGGCCATCATTCCAGGGATGATGGACCACGGGATAGACTAATGATGGAGTGCGAGCCAGGGGATGGACCGCATCCGTTTAACGAGGAGTCCACTGAAGAGGTCGAGCGATGAAATCAGTTCCACGGTGGCGAGATGTTAAATACCTCGCCTGGTATGCAGGAGGCCGTGGGTTCGATCCCTACCCTGACGCCTGTATATTTGGAGTCTGCATGTCTCTCTTTCCCCGTGGTCACTTGGATTCTCATCCAGGTCCTCTGGTATTTCCCTCCACATTTAGAAATGTGCGTTAAATTTCCACGCGATAAGCCACTTCGTTGAGCTAATATTTGTGGCCAAGTCGCTTCTGAAAAAGAGCTATATAGCTCAGTGGGCTTTACCTAGTAAAATAAAAAATAGTTTTAGTTGAGCTCGAGTGGCGGTAGCAGGTTCGTGCGAGTTGGCGTTCGCTTGGGCAGACCTTCATCTCGGACTGGATTGGTCATGGCTAATGATGATGATGTATTTCATGTCAGGTCACCCTTGCCAAAAGATACTGTACTTGGTTCTCCACGTACACTCATCTGCTTCCAAATAAAATTCATTTATTTCTAATCAAATGTGTTTCTTCAATAAGAGGATATATTTTTTTACATTTACAAATAGTAAGCTGCCAAAGAACAATACGAACCCCAGAATGTTGTTACCCACACCACCTCTATTACCTCTGTTTGATGCAGGAATCACGTTCTCTCGCTTTACAGCGGTGAAGCAAGAGCAGTGAAATTATGGACGTGGCTGCAGTAAATGAGGCAGATTGTAGCATATATATCAGAGCCTCTTCAAATCTAATTACATTGTTTTGGCCTAATCATATGCTCACGTAAGGCTCTCATCTTGTTACAACTGAAGCATGGATGTGTAGTGGCTATATTCTTGAAAAAAAAACGTCTGTTATGTGAAATTTATCTTTAAAATGAACAAAAATAGCAAGAGTGTAGCAATTAAACGCTCTTCAGGATGCCAAAGTAGCCGGAAATGTTTACATGTCCCAAGAGGTTTTACATGTTATGCAGCATGCGCTCATCAAACTCTACACCTCTATATGTGTAATGTTATTGATGGAAGTGTAAGATTAAATTTGGTTTATATTGTATGCAGGGGATTTTAAAGGAATAATTTTCAGTCTTTTCCAGATTGTATTGCCAATGTGATCCTGTTTCATCGTGTCATGAGATAAACATATTCCATTCAGAAATCTCGCAGTGGTGTGGCTTCGTGTGTCCGAAAACAGCTGCACAAGAGATTTTCACAGAACCTCGAAAACAAAAGCCTATTTTAAGTGCCATTTTTACACAAACGGGGACACATTTTCCCACACACTTTACTCTGAGATTTGTCTTGATCATATCGTAGTGATATTGTAATTCTCAGATCTAGAATTTTGGCAGATTATGTGGAAGCACACATTTTTCAATATGGTTTGGCGATGGTTGCTTTGCAAATCAGCAATGCTGTGTTTTTACTCTCATTGAGATGCAATTTTTAGTTCTTCATATTGCGTCTTAGTGCAAATGCAACTCAAGGCGCCGTACAAACTAGACGTCGCGTGCACTAGGGGTACTCCTAGAAATATTTTAAAAACTCTTCGTATGGAGGAGACAGTCAGCAGTAGGCAGCGGAGAAGATGAAGTTCTTGATTTTCAACTTTTATTGGGGGAAGGGAATTAGCAGTATGGATGGCTGGAGGGCGTGAGATTGAGCGAGAAACTCGCTCAGATGAGTTGGCAATTTTTTTTCTTCATTATCTCGTTCTCCGTCTGCAGTGTCTGCGGAAGGTTCGTCAGCCCCAGACGTCGAGCCCCCCGCGGCCCCCGTTGCCAGCCCCGGCCCTGGCTCGGGCAATGCCTCGCCCGGCAAGGCGGGCCAAAACCCCGGCAAGCTGAACCTGAGCCGCAATGACCTGGAGCGCATGGAGAAGCACATCAAGGGCAACGACGTTTACAGCCCCATCTGCCAGCTGCTGGACGCCTGGAGCCACCGCAACCGCAACCTGCGCAGACACAGGTCAGAAAGCAGGCGCTACCATTGGCCGGTGGCGAGATGTTTGAACTCATCTTCTTGGTTCTTTCGGTAAAGTCACGTAGAAGGGAAGTAATAAAATAAAAAAATTAAACATAATAGAATAATTCTCACGACGTTTCGGCCACAACGCAAGCAGCCGTCCTCTTCACCTGAGGACGGCTGCTTGCGTTGTGGCTGAAACGTCGTGAGAATTATTCTATTGTTTTATTTTTATTATTTTATTATTTCCATTCTACGTGACTTTACCGGAAGAACCAAGAAGATGAATCTCTGCAGTCACGAAAGCTTTAAATCGAAAAATGTTTGAACTCCCTCGCCTGGTGTAGAGGAGGCCGTGGGTTCGATCTTGACCCTAACGCCCGTATGTTTGCAGTTTTCAAGTCTCGCTCCCTGTGTTCACGTGGATTTTTCTCTGGGTCCTCCGGTTTTTCTATCCACATTGAGAAACATGCATTGAGAGTAGTTGGCTGCTTTAAATTTCCACGTGATTAGCCACTTCGTTGAGCTATCATTTGTGGCCAGGTCACTTCTGAAAAAGAGCTACATAGCTCAGTGGGCCTTACCTGGTATAATAAGAAATAGTTAAGTCTGGAATGCTCTACCTTCCGATATTAGAAAGCCAATGCAGCTATGCACTTTACATTCTAATTTAAAAACTAAATTTATTTCGAACTGCTTTTTGTCTAGAGTGTTTTTTCCTCCCCCCACACCCCTGATCAGCACGGTTGGCTATGTATGGTGCAAAAGAAGTTAAATATACATGCATATATTCAAATAAGTTATACATACATATTGTGCATGAGAAGGTACACAGAGCATTGCAGGTGCTTAGTGTAAAGCTGGGGCATGTACAGGGCTCTTTAGTGTTACTTTTGCATTGTAGTGAACATTATTTGATCTTCTTGGTTCTTTCGGTAAAGTCACGTAGAAGGGAAGTAATAAAATAATAAAAATAAAACATAATAAAACAATTCTCACGACGTTTCGGCCACAACGCAAGCAGCCGTCCTCAGGTGAAAACCAGGTCCGTCGAGGCGACAGACGGACCTGGTTTTCACCTGAGGACGGCTGCTTGCGTTGTGGCCGAAACGTCGTGAGAATTGTTTTATTATGTTTTATTTTTATTATTTTATTACTTCCCTTCTACGTGACTTTACCGAAAGAACCAAGAAGATGAATCCCTGCAGTCACGAAAGCTTTAAGTCGAAACATTATTTGAGTCTAGCTTGCTTATGTCCAGCAAAGAAAAATGTACTTATTGCTAAACCTTTACCCCGTGTCTGTTCCAGAGCATTCTTAACATTTTCCAATGCTACAATGGTTTTTGACAGGCATTAGGAGGCATAATTGATCACAAAAATACATTTTGATCTTTATCCGTACTATGTTGTATGTATGTATGTTGAACTTCTTTCGCGCCGTACGTAGCCAACCGTGTTAATCGGAGTTGAAAACTTCTATGGTCTTTAAATAGGCATAGCTGGATTTGGGCGTTTTTTTAATCAATGGACAGTGCTACTTTGAATGAGCACTTTGTGTATGTTTCACACCTTATCGCACATCAGCGCTGCTGCAAGCTCACCTGCTGCACAATCCACATCAGGTTTAGTCAGTGTGCCAACCTGAATTTGTGTTTCATGCGAAATAAAAAAAAACGTTATTGGCTGGAAACAAGCATGAAACTCGGCTTAGCACGTTAAATGAAAAATTACTACGTAAGGTTGTGGCAAACAAGCTCATGAACGTATAACCGCATGTTTTCACGCTGTCATGTTGTGACTGCACAAGCGAGAGTTGTATTGTAAAGACGCAGGCAGTGGTTCTGTGGTGTCATCCTCTTAGATTGTTCCCGAACAAACATGGGAAATCAGTCCCCTCCCCTTCATTACTAGACTAATGGTACAGTTGGAGTATAATGGGCGATAATAATATCAATGTAATGAAACACACTGCCCACCATAACTAAAAAGATACCTGCCTTTTTAACGTTGTGAAAATTAACAAAAGTCATTCTGAAATTGTAAACGTATACAAATGTGCCCTGTAGATAAAATCATTCAGAGCCTGCTTGTGTAATGCTGCTGCTGTGAATAACGGATACCCATCGTACAACAGATTGTGACAATTAGCACGGTCTTCATCCTCTTCACTACCATCAGCATTTCCCAGTGATATGCATGGAGATTCTGTGACAATACTACTCGTCCAAAAATGCACCCAGCTCCCTCTCCAAGTTAATCAACTCCTATTCACAGCGACAGCCGATGCAAGTGGCCTTGTGGCCTTGCCTTGCTTCCCCAGTGTTTCCCAATGACGGGGGGGGGGGGGGGGGGTGGGCGGCGTTGCTTGTTTGCTCTCGCAGCCAATGTTGACTCACAGGTGTTTGGGCGAGGTTGCGAAAATATGATCGTGCACACCTGTTAGCACAAGAGTTCTAAATAGAAAATTTCACAATTTGAAGGAATTGCTTACTCTTAACGTCTTGCAGCTTTACACAATACAGCGGCAAGTCACAGATCAGCGAACGCGTGGATGTTTACCGATGCGATAGATTACGCTGTCAGCCGACCTGTCTGTGTGAACCTGATGAGTGACTAGTCGTGGGTGTCTGTGTGTTGATGGCGCAATTCCAGCGGTAGTGTAGCGGTTAGCGCCGCTGCACTCTGAATACGACGACCCGTGTTGGATTCCCGCTCACTGCTTACACCAGTGACGATGTATCTCAACCGGTCCTGGGCATCCCCCGAAGTCGACCCGGTCTCAAAATGAGTAGCCGATGTGGTGTATAAAAAACATCACTCGGGAGACAAAGACGGCCAGGCGTGGTGATGGCCATGCCGTCCTGCCTTTATAGGTGCTCGTGAGCAGCACTTTGCCCAAAAAGTCTGTTAAGGCTATATGGGGGGTCTTTGTCTTTGTTGATGACGCAAAGCCAAACACACTTTCATCAGTTTCCACTGCATTCTCTTACGCACCTAAGATAATCGCTCTTCCAGGTTCAAAATGGTCTTCCAGGTTCAAAATAGTCTTATCCAACAGTGTTTGTTGGGTCAGTTGGTGGGTTTTAGTTGCAAAACATATGATCACACAAAGCTTGTTGGTTCAGAAGTCCAAGATAGAATTGACACCGTATAAGTGTTATTGTCTTGTACCTTTGCACATTAAGGCTGGAGTCACAGATTGGCATGAGTGTGACACATTGTTAGTGCAATGTCAGAGATTCCAACTACGAACCTGATCAATGGCTAATAGTGTGCGTGTTCTATGGCACACAGCCAAACGAAACAAACTTTCAGTTGCTTCCTCCACATTCTCTTTGCTGGCTACAGTGAGTGCTTGCAACGATAAGTAATATCTTTATAATTAGTATCGAAGCTCCGTTGGAATGTTTACTTGGCACTTTCAGCAACAACAGAAGAATGCGGCAATCAGCATGTGTTTTTTTCAACAGCTTTTGCAGCAAGCTACAATCTGCTTGCAAAAGGAACCTAAGTGTTATTTTTATCACCTCATTGTTATATTTGTTCTATACATCAGGGCAGTGGTGCAGTGGTTGTTGGCGCGTCAGCTTTATTCCCGGCCACCAACTAACATGCTTTGTTGCGTGTAGTTAGTTGTCCTTCAACATAAATATATAAGTGGCGAGTGATATTTAAACCGGTTCTGGTCTCCCCCCCCCCCCTCCTTCACCAATCCTCACTAAACAGCGTGGTAAAGTATGGACCAAACTACCTCTATGACTGACAAAACAGGGGTGGGAGCCATCATCCGGCAATGTTTACACAGAAGGGCGAGAGCCATTACGGGCGTGTCTCGCTTAGCAAGCGTTATTTTTATGATAATTCGCTATAACGAGCAATTTTAACTTGGCCCAGTTCGCACAAATGTTCCCGTAATGAGTGGAGACTGATCTATCAGCCAGGGGGGGCAACCACCACCGCCCCCAGCTGTTTGTTTACCACTCTCCTGTGTTGCGTAAGCGCGCGATAGGGATGGGTGCAGAGAGGGGTGGGTGGGGGGTCCTCGTGGTGGTACTGTTGTGATGGGTGGGCGTGGGGAACGGTGGCGCAACGGTTAGCGCACGGCACTATGAACCCGGCCACCCGAGTTCGATTCCCACACACGGCCAACACCAGTGACGATGAACTGAACTGATCCTGGGCCTCCCCTACCTAGGACGACTCACAGACTCATTTGAGGACCTGGTGCGGTGTGTAAACGTCGCCACTCGTGAGTCAAAGGTGGCCGGGCGTTGGTGCTGGCCACCCACCACCCCTCGTGTGCTGTACCGGCCTTCATCGGTGCTCGCTAACAGTACTTGACCCAACAGTCTGTCAAGGCTATCCGGGGATCTTTGTCTTTGGGGGGATGGAGAGAGCGGGAGAGGGCTGTGTGATTGATCGTGAGTGTTTATTTAACATATGTGGCTGTAAGGAGGTGATATCATAGGCTATACTGGGGATCTTCCACTGTGGTTTTTTCATGTGTGGTAAAAGTTACATTTGATGTTTTATTACTTTATAAAAAAATATTATACGGTCATTTGTATTTCTCATGTTCAAAAAGTTGTTCAAGAATGGAACATTTTGAGGCTGAAACGTATTTCTCAGCTTTTAACGTGGGAGTTAATGGGAAAACGATGATTGTTTCACGAGTGTTCGCTTGCCGAGCAATTTTTCGCGGAACGTATCTCACTCGTTAAGCGAGACACGCATGTACTAATCATGTACATGTCTCTGGTGTGGACCAATCAGTTTCAAAGACAATGCATACATTATCAGAGTATTGTTTTTTGTTTACATTTGACTGCAAGTATTGTGGTTAATGTAAGCATGATTCCTTGCAAAAGGTGTCAGTTTTGTTGCCAGAAAAAAGGGGGAAACCCCTATTAGTATAATGTACATTCATACTTTGTGGTGCAGGATACAGGAGTTCACATTGGGTAACTGTTACATTTGCCAAACCGTAAAAGTGATTGCAAGGTACGGAATGGCTTTGTTATATTTATTGCCTGTTATTTTGTGACGGTGACACTTGCGATCTTTTACTTCATCCAGGAGCCTATACCGAGAGCTGCTGTTCTTCTCACTGGTGTCCATGGGAGCTGAGAATGTTGACATAAGTGAGTAACGGTGGTTATGCCAACCTCCAGCATTGTGCTCATGTATATTCGTGTGTGTGCTCGTGGGTATGGTTTGCTTTTCTATGTAGTTCTACTTTGCTGTGGAATATAAAAACATCTGATAAATGGCATAAAAGAGGGTTGAGATGGTTATCAGTTTCTAACTTAAATGTTAGTTGATCAAAGGGCGAGTTAACCTTTTGTCATTTCATGCTGTGTCGACTATTCCTTGCCCCTTGAATGACAGAGAATATTTATTTTAAGCCGTGAATTCTAAATAGTAATAGCTGACGGTTTTTTTTATCATTAATAATATTGACTCGGGGTTCATCAATCGGGCTAAAATCCTGGACTTTTCCAATCTCCTTCAATTGAACACTCAATCCTCTGACCCTCTTTGAAATAGATGCAGGAGAATGGAACCTCAGATTACCCACTGACAAAATCAATCACTTTCTCTTGGGCAATACTGACAGCACACATCCAGTTATCTCAATGATTGTTTGGAATACCAAGGCTTTGGTTAGAGATAGGTTTATCTCTATCGGGCCCCTATATTCCTGAGAAAAAAAATGTTTTTCAAATTGTCCAATTGAAATGTCTTTTGAGATCCCGTAGAGGTGATGCCCTGCATTTTCTGATACCAACTACAAAGTATTTTTTTTTCTTTGTAGATACCAAACTTTGTAGTACAATGAGAAACTTCTATACTGTTACTATTTTTATTTCACCAGGTAAAGCCCACTGAGCTATGTAGCTCTTTTTCAGAAGCGACCTGGCCACAAATGATTGCTCAGCAAATTGGCTTATGTGGAAATTTATTGCAGCCAAATACTCTTAAACGCATGTTGATTCAAATTCTGGAGGGAAAAACCGGAGGACCTGGAGAAAAATTCACACAACCACGGGGAGAACATGTGCACTCCAGATATACTGGCATCAGGGTCGGGATCGAACCCACGACCTCCTGCATACCAGGCGAGGAAGTAAACATCTCGCCACCAAGTATCACACGACAAGTCAATATAGTTAAAAGAGTAAAATCGTTTATGTCCCAGAAAAGAAGTGCTCAAGTCTTTCTTACTCGTCATTTCAAGAATACTAATTCAGCATTTCTCGCATACGATTACGTCTCTAGAAAAGTTGACTCATTCTCCTTGGCACCTGATAATTCCTACAGGGAATTAAGACAGACCACCATCCATTCATTGAACATTCATAATCTCATCGTAATTACAGGGTACCTTGTGTGCTGATATCATTGCACAAGTCCTGAATGTCAATTACCTTCTAAGATAATTAAATTATGAACTAAGGACTACAGCCACTGCTCAATACCCGTACTCCAAAAGCGTAAACAGTTACTTCATGTCTGGAAATGAGCGCTCAAACACCGCACGCAGCACAACATAAATGCAGTAGTTCACAGGCCACTAATAAATTAAATTGCACGGAACAATTTAAATTATTAGATGTCATCAGCATTATTCTCCGGGAGAACAAAGGTTACATTTGCATTTTTCAAATGAGATGCTTTTGCAAAAGAGCCACTAACGGTTGGAGATGTCCTCGGCTGTCATCCCATGTTGTCACCTTTTTCATGTTTCATTGCAGCCTGTCGTAAAGCCTGCCGGTTATATGTCACGTAACATTCTCTTTGTTTGATCACCCAACTGGCCTGTCCTTGCTTTTTACAATATTTGAGGATGTTTTCACATCCACAGCATATTTACTTATAATTTTGCAGCACCAATAATGTCAGGATTTTTTTTTAGACAAACAAAAATATCGGTGTGTCATATCATCTTTCAAGGCCGCCCCGTGGGCCTGTCACACGTTCTGTGGTTATTGACACAAAAATGCATTCCATCCGAGGCTTAAGAGTCAGTGATGCATGCTTCGTTGAGTTGGGGAAGAGAAAAGTAACTAGTTTGGGCAGCTATTTTGGACAGGAATCATGCATACAGACAACACCCCTGTACTGAAAACAGAGCCAGTCGACTCTGAAATACCAGTTCTTCACTTTCATTGTTATTGCGGTCATAAATTATTAATATAATTTTTTCTATATATATGTGAGTTTATTTATTTGTCAATATACTTTAAGCTTTCTTGAGGTGGTTTGTTTTATAGGATGACTTTACAAACAACTTTGGAAGGGGAGAGGGGTCAACGGTACTGTTTAGAGACTGATGTTTGGGGCCAGAATGTGATGTCTGTTGTTGAATGCCTCGGAGAACTACACTCGTGAAGCTTTTGGCCTTTCAGTTTAGATGCATGTGGATAATGAATGCAATTTTACAGCAGGATTACTAATAAACTGGATGGAACATGGCAGCATGTTGGGAGGTTGTGATGTGTGGAGCAAATGTGTGGGATTGAGGAGAGAAAATTACTCAGCCTGGGCCCCCACCATAGGAAAGCAGCATTCCCATCACTGCCTCAGGGCTGCTAGCAGCATTACTCCATGCCCATGGATACAAATTTACTTTTTCAACTTTGACACAGGTGTTTCGTCCCTGTATGCGAGTATCAGCCAGGTATACAAATTAACATGTCGGTACAGTGTTCCCTCGTTATTCACGAACTTGCTATCCACGATTTTGGCTAACCGCAAATTGCATCTCGAACTCTACACGACTATATCGAGAGATGAAAGAGAGCGAGGGAGAGAGATAACTTCTCGAAGCTTTAGAAGCATCTGCAGACATTGCGTGTATGACATTTGTAGGCCAATATCATTGTGTCCGCAAAATGTGGTATTCACGAGCATATCCGGAACGTATCCCTCGCGAATAACGAGGGAATATCGTATAGGCCATATGCTTGCTTTTGTGCCCCTTTACAAATACCCTTCGCCAAAGAGCTCACTCCCGTCATCGCCCTGTTGCTCGTCAGATGTCTTCGATCAGGAGTACCGTCGGGAACACGAGCGCATCACGACCAACGGAGGGCGGCTACTGAACTACGACCTCCCGCCCAGCGCCGCAGCTTCCTCGTGCCGCCAGGCCTTTGGGGAACTGCGACTCTAGCAGAGGACAAGCGCGGCGAGCGCTCGCACGCACCCATCCACTGCGCTCGGGCATGCACACGTGCGACAAAGAGAGGTGTGTTCCGAGTAGGGTTGGTGAATTCACATTAGTGTTAGTTGGTCCTGCTTTCTTCGTCACTTACAAATGAGGAATATGTTCACGGGGCTGGTGTCCTTGTCAACAAGCTTTCTAGCACATCTTGCACAAGCGCACACGGTGGGGGCATTTAAAATGATTTGGTACTTGAACTGTCACTATATTTGCAAAGGGGAGATGTGTTGAGCAGCAGAAAAAGAAAGCCCTGTGGATTCACCAAGTATATTATAACTCGTAGAACTTACAGGTAATTGATCAAATGTAATGTGTTCATGTGGCTCTGCCACATGGACAAATAACCTAAAAATATATTGTTTCCACAGATTAGCAGAAGCGATACGTCCCTCGAAGGTTAACTTTCTCATTTTATGACGTTCACATTTTCAGAGGATGCCAGTAGGAATTGCAAATTGTCCATAAAGCTGAAGTCTGTTTTTAAATAATTATAATTAGACAGCAGTTTGAACCCGGTCAATAAAACTATACATACACACTCAGTAGGATCATCCCTCTGAACCCCTCCATATGCCCATCATGGCATTGGCGCCACAAGCATCAGATCAAGATTTGAGAAAGTCCCAGGTGTTTGCAAACATTTTGAGTGTAATTGTTTAGAACACTTTTATTGAAGGTCACTCGAGCTTTTCACATCACGTCCAAAATCAAAGAAGCGTTGTCCAACTTCTGCCCAATTATATCAGTCTTTGATAATGGATGATGGCGTTTTCATGTGCATCCCGGGTACTGGTTCATAAAGCTGTGATTCTTGTATTGTGATCACTTGGCAAAATGTGCCCACCCAGCTTGTCCCGAAGGCTTGGCATAATTTACGGTCCATTCGGGTTTTATTTACGCCAGAGACTTGTTTTTGTGCGAGCGTGTCCCGAGAGCCAGGTGTGAAGTGTGAGGAGTGGGTCCACCCCTCTTGCACTTTGAGGTGTACAATTGAAATATCTTTTTTTATTTAGAAAGTGATCACTTGTACAGCAGTAAAACTTAGTGTTGCATATATTAAAAAAAAAATCTAAAACCCTGCCCTAACTGTGCAAGATAAAAAAAAAACAGTTGTACAGATTGTTGTGATATTTTGAAGCCCGTGGAAGATTTGGAGCATTAGCAATGATAACTTTGATTTTCGTTGGTTTAGTTGAACGCGTGGCACAGAACTTACGTTGGGGAAGGATAAATTATCAAAGGGAGTAATGTTACTTTGATACGGATGGGGAGCACAAGAAACAATTGGCCGATACTGCAGCGTGTCATGGTTTATTAATGACTATATCGGTTGTCATTGGCAATTGAGAATTTATTTGTCTACATTAAAAGGAGGTCATCATTTCTATGTGGTCATCCAAGGTAGTGTGTCGTAAGTACTTATTGCATTAACCTATTTGAAGATGCACACTTATCATCACAAGCAGCCTTATATGTTTGGTTTATTTTCATTTTAACAAAAAGCGTTGGTTTTAAATAGTAGTTTCATTCACAATGTTATAATAGTGATCGAGTGTCCAGTCTACGACACATGTATAGAGAAGGTACTTTATTTTTCACATGGAAGTTCAGATGCAACATTGGTACAATTGTACTCTTTAAGTATATGCATTTAACGTCATGTATTGTAACTTGAACGTTAGTTTTTCGATTGCAATACACAATATCTCTGTAAATGTTTTGTATGACTAAATGTGGATAAATCATCTGTACAAAATTCTAAAATTAAGAGAGAAACATTTTCGTCTAGGTTGCATTATAGACTGACTCAACTCTGGACATGATAACAACAGTATGTTCTTTTATTTTTTCCCTCGGCACAGTGAAATATTTGACACAAGTATATGCTGCTATAATTGTTCAATGCTTTTAGTAAGACGAAGACTGCTGCGTACTTGAGACAGCAGTTGATGAGCTAATGGACAGCGCTGTTGTGATGAGAATTGATACAAATGGCTTTCTGAACACAGAACACCCCCCCCCCCCCCACCTTTGTTTAAGGCCATCTCTCAAGCTGCAGGTAAATTTCCCACGTGGGCCTTGCTGTCTTGACATTCTCGTTGCGAGCGGACACTTGTTCAATGGCACGGTGGTGCACTTAATTTGGCTTCCTCTGTTGTGTCGGACCCTGTGTACGCAGTGACATATCTCCCTTCCTACACGTACCATCCCTAGCAAGTGTGACTATGCTTACCACAATCTCAAGGGTGGGGAGAGGTGCAGTGGGGTTTGTTAATTCATGCTCATTATTTGGTGTACAGGGTAAAATAGCAGTGGAGATGTCCTGTCAAGCATTCACTTTTCCGTAATTTGCAATGAAGCACTGTTGATCAATGGAGATCGCGCTATAATCCAGGTGATGGAAATCATTAAAACAATTACAGTCCGTTTTTTCGGTTCTGGATGTGGCGGCGAGTGTACTCGAGGCTGTTGTAAGTGGAGGCTTCTTTCGGCTAGGCAACGGTCCCCCGTGCACGTTGTTACGTGTCTCCACTTCTCGTTATTAAGACCATATGACACGGCAATACAGCTTGGCGCACGCCCTCTGTTCCCACGTGGCTAGCAAAGGGATTTGCACGTCTTGGTCGTGCTGTGGAAGACTGACATTTCACCTGCAAAGCGATATCACACGAGAGCACTATTGTGCAGCGGCAGAGGGAAAGGGTGGAGGCGCAGGGGGGGGATGCAACGGGAGTGAATCCGTCATACGTTGACCGCTGATGTGTGTACATACAGAAGATCATAAAGGGCGCGCAGTGATGCTTCATATTTCTCACCATGGAGTGACTCGGAGGAGCATCGTTTAAATGACGTGCAACTGCGTGAAGACCCAGGGCCAATGTTGACTGGTGTCTGATAGTTGCACTGATGTGAACCAGACCGTTGATCATCAAAGGCACTTATTAAAAAGACTTAAGGATGGCATAAAGGAGACTTTTCATTGCTTCTTCAGACTTGCGAAAAGTGCAATACCCTTGTGAGGAATAAAGCTATATTTTGTTACAGTCCGGAACACCCGTGTTTTATTAGCTTGTGTAGACCAGACGTTATATTCGTACCGTAGCAATACCCAATGTGAGTGCGAGGTTCGTACCGACCTGAAGCATGAAGTAGTATTTTTATTGTCGCTTAATTTGTCTGTTTTGCTATTTGTGTTGCAATTATGCCGCAATCAGGCTGCCCGCATTTTTATTTAAACACGTGAATTTCATTCTCAGCAGCGCATAAAGCTTGCAAGTTAAATGTAGTTGTGTTTTTTCCCTTTAACTCTGCTGAAATCAAACACGGCCACCTGCGCTGGTCTTCCATCTCTCGCTCGGTCATTTGTTAACCGTTCTCTCAAATGATTTTCACATTTGTCAATAAGTGGAAGGCATATTGTTACACGTTCATTTAGTTCTATGTAGCACAGCAGGACCAAATACACATTTATCAATCGAATTTGTTGCTGCATTTCACCTAATGTACGTTTGTAACGTAGCATGTATAGACGCGCGTGTGTGTGTGTACGCACGCGTATTCAGTTGATTAAACTTGTGTAGAGCTTAGGGAGATGTGACCACTATTTTGTTGCATTCCACTAACTGTGCTTGGTTTTTCTACCTGATATGTCATGCTTAGGGGGGGGGGGGGTGAGGGCAGTTTCGCTCTTGAAGGTGAGATTTAAACATAGTGAATGGAATCCCCTAGGCATCACATACAATGGTGACTGCAGTACAAATTGCACTTGTCGATGGCTTCTCTGTACAGCTTGTCGTGTCCATTTTTGAACCGACACGTGGCGGGTTTGATAACTTGAAATGCTTTGTCTTGAGTTTTAATAAAGCCAAAACAGTAATTGCGCATACATTCTTCTTGCTTGGCGTGACTTCTTAAACTGTCGTTCGTAAAAGTTGCCTGTTAAAGAATGCGAGTGTTTTGTCGCGTACGGTGTAAACATGGAAGTGGACATGCGTGCTCACTGGGCTGGAACGAGGTCACGATTTATGGTCGCAATCGATGGAAGAATTGTGTTTTTTGTTTTGGTTAATGGTGGCACCTCCCATTCCACAATAAAAGAAAAACACAGAAAATGTTTAATTCTTATGTGATTCGATGCACGTTGTTAATTCTCTTTAAGTTTTTTTTTTATAACAGCTAACAGGATCCATATCTATCGATGAATCAACACATCGTTCTGACATTTAATGGCCGTGTTATCCCCCGGGGGATGGGTTCAGTGCGGCCATATGTCTTGCGTTTTCCACGTTCATGTTGCTGCTGTCAGAATAAAGTTCATCACCCCCTTGCACTTCGCACCCACATGCATTGCATACGTTTGCTGTTGAAATTATGGGTGGACGGGGTCTTTCGGAGTTGCAAACACCACGAACACTAAAACAAGGGCCCATGCAATCCGCTACTTTCTCCACAGACGGATATTTCTTGTGAATGTTTCACAAATCGAGGCACGCGTGTGAGGATTTTTTGTACAAGCGGTCGATATGGGAGGTTAAGGCCAGGCCAGCCCGCAAATGAACCCCTGAAACAATGGATTACGTATGACATGGCACTCAGAAGTCAATATTTAGCTTACCTACGTATACGCGATTGCACAGCAATACTTGGAATTCACAAAATAACCGAGGGCCCAGCTCCACAATATGGTCCATGTAATCAATAATTGGGGCGAAAAGTGAGTAAAGGCTGGTTGTCTAATCTTTTAGTGATCCGTCAACCCCCATTTATATGCTATCGGCAATACGATTACATGCAAGGTTTGCTTCATCTGGTGCCATGTCACTAAACGAGTGTACCGAGTGGCAGTTTGCCGCGGAGATAATCTCTCCATAAATTAAATACTCTCAACCCGTAGCTATATTTGCACGTGCCATAAACAGGGTGACAGGGCATGGTACGGAGAGCACCTTTGGACTGCTTTGCAGTTAACTTTCCCGTGTCTGCTGAGGATATTTCAGCAGTTATGGACATGTTTTTTGGGTGCAGCCTATGGCGCTTAATTACTGCATAAGGCACAATGTCAGTTACGTTTCAGTGGCATTTTAATGACATTTAGTAATTAAAATGACGCCAGGCTACCACCAAGGGCGCTGACATGACGAGCACGCCCAGGTAGAGAAGGGCGAGGCGCACAACAATAATGGCTTGCAGGACAATAATGGGAACATATTGCCACCGTGCAGCTTGAATGCTGCTTCCTTCAGACCATTGCATGGGAGGGAGGTTGATTGATGTTGCACAGGACCACACGCGGTAATTACACAATGGAAATTGAACAAATGTGACCACCCGACAGGCAGCGGTGGTAGGGAGATGGACGATTGGAGACCGGTTTCGCAATTATTTGGACTCATTTGCTCATTCATTTTCTACGGTGACCTAAGACGAGAGGACCACAATGCACTTGTTCAGAAAATGCACTTCATTGTTTTTGCATAATGCACAAAGGGCGAGTGCTTTTGACATATTTTTCGTGCATGGAACTAATCGTATTCCAGCCTGCACCACTGTGCTGTATCAAGTACGGCGATGTTGTAAACACCGAGGCTTGAGCGTCCGTTTGGGGGGCGCTGTGGCGCAACACGTCACGTGTTGAGACCCATTTGTTCGCAATACGAGCAAAGTGTTCACTTATCGAGCGGAGTCCGATAAATGTGCGTCCTATGGTGGAAGGGGGCACACGTTGGTCCACAACTGTTTGTTTTTAGCGGCTCTCCTGTGCACTGCCCGCGTGTTTGGTGGCGTGCGGAAAGGGGGCCTCGTGGTGACACGAAGGGATGCATTGCGGGAGGGGAGCAGTGGTGGAGCGGCGATTCGCGCTCGGCACCGCGAACCCGGTGACCCGAGTTCGATTCTCGCTCATGGCCAACACCAGCAACTATTATCTGAACCGGTACTGGGCGTCCCCTAGGTCGACTCAGCCTCAAATTAATATCCAGTGCGATGTGTGAACATTAACCCTCGGGAGACATAGGCGGCTACCTACCCCTCGTGTGCCGTGCCGGCCTTCATAGGTTCTTGCTAACAGCACTTGCCCCAACGGTCTGTTCAGGCTCTACGGGGGGTCATGCACTGTGGCTCTTCATGTGTATTCCGGCCTTATTACTTTATTTTAAAATCATAATTTGGATTTCTCACGTTAAAAAAGTTGTTCAAGAGTGTCAAATGTTGGGGCTGAAACGTAGCTCAGCTTTTAACATGGGCGGAGTAAATTGGAAAACGATGGTCGTTTCACGAGTTTTCGATTTTCGCGGAACGCATCTCGCTCGTTAAACGAGACGCGCCTGTATGAAGGTGTGGGAACAAGCAAGGGCTGGAAGCTTCTGGAATAAAAGACAGGGAGCCAACTACAAGTTTAAAGGTTTTATTTGAAATGTAATATCACCGTCCAATTAAAGGGGAATACAAATATCCAAATTCAAAGATAACATTCAGGTAAAATGCTGAATGCTAAAATGAGCTTCAGGGAGAGCATTCCCCTCGTGAGCACGCTGGGACTCGGAGCGCACCAGACCGCAGCCTGCAGGGTTTCCAGGTCCTCGGAGCGGCACTCGACAAGGCCTGGGCCGCCTGGTCGCCCAGCGTCGGGTGCAAGACCCGTGGCTGGAAGAGTCCGGTGCTTCATCTTGTTGGTTCTTTCGGTAAAGTCGTCACGTAGAAGGGAAGTAATACAATAATCAAAATAAAACATAATGAAATACAATTCTCACGACGTTTCGGCCACAACGCAAGCAGCCGTCCTCAGGTGAAGAACAGGGCTGTTGGAAAAACAGCGTCCGAAGTTGTCTTTCCAACAGCCTTGTTCTTCACCTGAGGACGGCTGCTTGCGTTGTGGCCGAAACGTCGTGAGAATTGTATTTTATTATGTTTGATTTTTATTATTTCCCTTCTACGTGACGTTACCGAAAGAACCAAGAAGATGAATCCCTGCAGTCACGAAAGCTTTAAATCGAAACTATATTCTTGGTTCTGTCGGTAAAGTCACGTAGAAGGGAAACAATAACAAATAAAAATATAAAACAATAAAATTATTATTTATTGTTTCCCTTCTACTGTGACTTTACCGAAAGAACCAAGAAGATGAATCCCTGTAGTCACGAAAGCTTTAAATCGAAAAGTCCGGAGCTTCTTTGACGATCGCACCGCGTCGTGTCTGTCCATGCCCTTGCACGTGGCTCGTGCTGCCGTGTCGCCTGCCTGCAGGTGATCGTGTCGGTGTCAACGGAACGATAAACGTCCCCGTACCACCGTTTCGCGTTTGTCGGGGACAAGATTGTCATTGGGAAGTTCTTCTCGATGTTGTGTGTCGGCATTCTGGAGAGCCGGTTTGTACTCACCAAATGAATCGTGTTGTTTTCACTGACCCCGCACCATTTCCCAACGTGTTAGCTAACTGTGCAACAGCACAAATGACGCCTCGCGTGGCCCAGATGCTCCCCACTTCACACTGTTTGCAGGCTGCGATGCCATCTTCAAGAACGTTTCTGCCACGACCAGATTCTGCATCCTGCATTTGAATGGCATCGATGCATATCACGATGAATTTTCCTCCGACGTTTTTTTTACATGCTTGGTAAAGTTCCTCCTGTTCAGTGGTAGTTCTCAGACGTCAAGAAAGTTGATGAGAGCACGATGCCTGTTTTTTTTCTGCGATTTTCAGCATCCAACGTGTGGTCTACGACGTAGCATAAATGAGGAACGTCTCATGAATTTTTCGAGCCTTAAAAATATGTAATAACTTTGTAATGCAGTATTAATAAGGCGAAGCAAAGACAGCCCCCCCCCTCTCCAACACTTCACCAGCACGCAGAGCAGCGTGGTGAAGGACAACAACACCCACATTTACGTCTCCTCCTGTTACGTCGTTTCGAAAATCCGCCGTCACTTTATTTGTAACACCGCTGCCCGACTCGCGTCGTCTTCTACCCCACGCTGAAGTCGCCTGGCAGCATCGTCCCTCCTTGCTCGTATCCGTCGCCTCCACCAGACCCAGTAAATCGCTTTGGATTTACGTCGTTTCCATCGTGGCCGTCGCACTTTCCAGAAACGAAATCCGCGACGTCGGTCGGGGTATTGCTGTGTGTTCAATCTGTGTGTTCAATCCCCCCCCCCAATGACCAATGCGTTGGGCGGCGTTCATCACGCAGTGGATGGACAAATGTTTCGACATTCATTGCATCCTTCTAAAACGATGCTCCCTCGGCTGCTGTTTTAGACATTTTAATTGCGTGCAATTAAATATTTGCTACACCACGCACAGGCTGACTGCGTCAACAACGTGGACGTGTGCTTAGTTATGCAGAAAGGCAATTAAGGTGGTAACACGCCATCTCGTGTTACCCCGATTAGCCCCATTCATATACAGTGCGTGATAGTGCAGCACTTGTTTTCATTTAGACAGCCTGCCCCACTGCATTATGTATCATCCACTGCCCAGAGTCCTACAGGCTGAAAGTGGCGTGCATGATGCGTGCCATGAACATGTAGGCATGTAACCCAGTGCGTGTGGTCGTTTTTTGTGTGTGTGTGCCACAGAGGTCGCAAACGGTTTTGATTCCTTACCTGTACCCGGCCGCACCAGGGTCGCAAACGGGTACCAGTACCCTACCCGATACCCGGCTACCCGTACCCGGCCGGGTACGGGTACCCGATTGCGACCTCTGGGATGAAGCCATGTTGCTAGGCGCGGGTGGGTTGATTCTAAGAACTTGAATTGTGAGAAGAGACAAGACATTGGGAAATGAGTGACAAACGGTGACTCGCCAGTGACTCACGGCCTACCCGTACCCGGCCGCACCAGGGTCGCAAACGGGTAGCCGGGTATCGGGTAGGGTACAGGTATCGGGTACCCGATTGCGACCTCTGGTGTGCCATCATCACCTCTGCATCACGCCATGTTCACAAAGTACCCGCCACAATCGTATATTAAAAACGTGTGCCACTGTAATATTTTACCTTTGAAATTCAATTTATAATTGTTTTGGACGTCGTGTCTTTATCGCCAGGGCCCTATACATCGCATCTGATCTTAGTCATCTAACAGAGTAAATTAGACTATAAACGATTGTGATCAACCAACTGAGTAGCGAGCTGATGGCCATTCTAATTACATTTCAAAAAGGCTTGAAAGCTGACATTTGGCAAAAAACATATTCGAGTCTATGATTCATTATAAATATAAACATCACAAAGCCAACATTTACGAATTTTTGTTCCCACAAATTATGGCCGGAGGTTGATCGATTTTACTCAGCGGGCCGGCTCAGCATCAGTGGAGCAAGTAAAAGTCGCTTCCTCCCCCGTGGAGGATGATGCCAAACCCGACTTCTGGTTACCAGTCTTTAAAATATTAAGCAGATACAGTGTACACATTGTCATTTAAAAATATATATATATTTTTAACACATTTTTTGTTCCTGGGTAGTAAGTGTTATTTCCTAATTGCTTATGCCTCAAAAGTACAGAAAATGGCCCGTTTTCGCATTGAAAATAGGTAAATTTCAAAATATCACTGTTCTGGTCACAAAAGCAAAGTTTGTGGGGAATGATAGCCATTTTCTATACGTTTTAGGCATAAGCAATTAGGAAATGACACTACTACCCAGGAACAAACATTATGTTACACAGTGTCATTCCCACTTGTCTTCTGAGAGGCGCGAGAAGGAACCTTTGGCAGGCGGTGAGCTGGCACCAAATGACCCCCAAAGCTCTGCAGTCCTCTATATATGAAGGTGTTCTAGGCCAATTACACATGGGAGGAACCCAAAGCACCCGGAGCAAGCCCGTGAAAATGGAACAGATGGAGTCCCACCCTGCTCCTGGCAAGCCTAGGGGGTGACACCTCCTCAAACTCTAACGGTAGCGGATTACAGACTTAATCGACCGCCAGACATTCCCAATTCAAGAAACGCATTTAGCTCATCGACCACACTCACAATAGTGCTGTTTGTTTAGCTGGCTGCTTGCCGATTCATTTTTTTGTGGGGCTGACTTTTGACCCTGTGCTTCGGAACCGTAATATTTTTAAAAAAATGTATACAATTATTACCACGGTGACCCATTAGAACAAGGCAGCAGGGCTCACCCGGCTTTGATCGCGATATCATTGCTCGTGGGCTCAGACAATCGTTTCGGTGGGGAATGGTGGTGGGTCAGGGTGCTGCTGCGGCGTTGTGCTTTGGCGAGGCCAACACGCTCGCCGGTCGCGTTAGCAACGCCGCCTCGCCGCTTTAAACAGGTGTTACAACATACCTGGCAACTCTCCCCCTACCACCACCACCACTCTCTCTCTCCTGCGTGCCTGTCACCGGCACGGCATGCACACCCACTCCACGCCCATGACTACATCATCGTCATCATCGACAGCAGCAGCAGCGGGAGGCAGAGAAGAAAGCAGCAGCAGCGGCAGCAGCAGTAGCGGCAGCAGCAGCAGTCGTCAGCCTGCCCCGGTGAGCAGAGCAAGTGCGCTGCTGGGTGGGAGGGAGTCGTTAGCTCCACACTGGCTCGATACATGCGTGGCGCCAATGTTGAAGCTGATTTAAAAAAAATAAAAGCCCTGCTGTTGTTGTTGATGCTGCAGCCTCGGGATAGATGTGTGTCAGTTCAAGTGGAGATTATTTTATGTTTTAATTGCTGGATAGGATGTTTTTTTTTTATTGAAGAAGCGTTGGTGTGTGATTATTACTGCGGGAGTGTTGGATTTCTTTCAACCTGTTGTATTGCTCGATGTTGGGTGGCAGTGATATTTAATTTTCAGTGATGATGTCCTAAGCATATTTATATTTTCAATCATTATGAAGAATATATTTCAGGCACTTCATCCAACAGTGGATTTACGGAGGTTGTGATTGAATTAGTATCAGTAGCCTATTTTTTTTTTTATATTGGCTGTCATAGTACAGAGACGCACAGCTTCTCATAGCAGCATTGGGTGCGTGAGTGGTGAGTAGGTAAGTGGTGAGTGAGTTGGTGAGTGATTGGTGAGTGAGTGGTGAGTGAGTAGGTGAGTGAGTGGTGAGTAGGTAAGTGGTGAGTGAGTAGGTGAGTGAGTTGTTGAATGAGTGGTGAGTGAGTTGGTGAGTGAGTGGTGAATAAGTGGCGAGTGAGTAGGTGAGTGAGTTGGTGAGTGAGTAGTGAGTGAGTTGGTGAGTGAGTAGGTGAGTGAGTGGTGAGTGAGTAGGTGAGTGAGTGGTGAGTAGGTGATGAGTGAGTAAATGAGTGAGTGGTGAGTGAGTAGGTGAGTGAGTGGTAAGTGGTAAATGGTGAGTGAGTAGGTGAGTGAGTAGGTGAGTGAGTAGGTGAAGGTGAGTGAGTGGTGAGTAAGTGCTGAGTGAGTAGGTGAGTGAGTGAGTTGGTGAGTGAGTTGGTGATTGAGTGGCGTGTGAGTAGGTGGTGAGTGAGTAGGCCAGTGAGTAGGTGAGTAGGTGACTGAGTAGGCGAGTGAGTAGGTGAGTGAGCGAGCGAGCGAGCTGTATTATAAACGCGTGCGCTCTTTGAAGATCTTCAGTCGTCACAGCTCCGCACGTGGCGTGTTACCGCGCGGCGGTGCGTGCACAGCACCCCCACCCCCACCACCGTTTATATACCAACGGGTCCTTATTACTGTTGCTGCTGCTGCCGCTGCCGCTGCGCCGACGGCTGTGAGTTTGTATAGACCGAAGGTTGACGAGGATAAGAAGGAGCGCGGACATGCCCAGCTTGTTCGCTCGGCACAGCTCCGGGATCGACTGGTGCGAGGGCAACTATCGACACTCGAGCAGTATTGCCGAGTTCTACAACACGGTGAGTGCGGACACACACACACGCGCACACACGCGCACGGACACGCGCACGGACACACACGCGCACGCGCGGACACGCACACGCACGCGGACACGCGCGCAAGCAACTATTTAAAGTCCAGGGATGGGGAACGTCCGACCCGTGGGCCGTATAAGGGCCGCGAAATCATTTGGTGTGGCCCTGCCAAGGCAACCGCAGGCGGGACTCGAAATTCAATAAATCTAGGAGCAAACCTGGAAAAGCAGTTGCGAGTAGCAGCAACATCATCAATAGCAGCTAACATCATCACACGCCTCATCAAAGAGAAGCAGTTCCAGCCATCACATTAGGGGCGAGTTAATTAAATGTTTGACCAAATATAACGGGCTAATTTTTTAGTTGATAATTTAGTATGGCCCGCGAATGATGTTATAAATATCCAAATGGCCTTTGGCAGAAAAAAAGGTTCCCCACCCCTGATTTTGAAACTAATAAACTCGAAACTGGTTTTTGTTCGTTTTAAACCAAGCGAGGCAGCTCCGATGAGCAAGGGTTTAGCTACGTGCGGTGCGAAAGAAGTTCAACTCTGAGCTCTTTTTCGGACGCGACCTGGCCACCACAAATGATAAGATCAATAACGAAGTGGGCTCATAACGTGGACATTTATAGCAGCCGATTACTCTACACGCTCGATGCTGATTCTAATTATGGAGGGGGAACACCGGAGGATCGGGAGAAAAATCAACGCGACCACGGGGAGAGAGACACCGCAAACTCCAAATATACAGCAGATGTCTGGGTCTGGATCGAACCCACGACCTCCTGTAGACCAGGCGAGGGAGTTAACATCGCGGGAGAGAGACACCGCAAACTCCAAATATAAAGCAGGTGCCTGAGTCGGGATCGAAACCCACGACCTCCTCTATCTCTCTCGCAATGCTATCGGCAGCATGTGTATTTGTCCTGGCGGAATCCGATGAGCTATGAAGCTCTTTTCCACAGATGTCCAGTAGGGGCATGGGGGGTCAGCAAGGTTGCAACAACGCAACTGGTCAGTTCAGTGCGCGCGTTCGTACGGGCTCGTCTTAGCCAGGGCTGCCTGCCTCTCAGATATCGCCTCGTCTCGACCGGGAATCGAAAGTAGGATTAGTGCCGTGGCAGGAGAGAGAGGGGGGGGGGAGGTTGAGACGGCTTGAGATAGGTTCAGTGCGCCAATCACTGCGCCACCGCTCACCCTTCCAATGTCGCCACGGCTGTTACCGCTCAGAGAGGCGCCTCCTGTCCACCTCATTGCGCAGACGGCGTTGGCCGTGAAACAGCTCTGCTCTGCGGTAGGGTCATTGCCCGAAGCGTCTGTCTATTTATAGCGAGGGGTTTCTCACGTGGCTATGCCCCCGAAACATTGCTTTGTGACAGAGGTCGCAACCGGGTACCCGATACCCGTACCCTACCCGATACCCGGCTACCCGTACCCGGCCGGGTACGGGTAGCCGGGTAGCCGTTTGCGACCCTGGTGCGGCCGGGTACGGGTACGGGTAGACCGTGAGTCACTGGTTAGTCACCGTTTGTCACTCATTTCGGGTAGGGTACGGGTAGGGAACTGGTACCCGTACCCGGCCGGCCGGCTGGCAGCGGGTTTCGCAGTCCCCGCGAGGTTGAGGATATCGCACGTGATGAGCTCGTTGAGATTGCCACAAAAGACGCCGAGACATTGAAATGAAATGTGCCCCGCTGCAAATTAGTTTTTTTTTAGCCGGGGAGTCTCTGTCGCTCCCAGTACTGAGTTCGTCTGCGCTGCGTAGAAGGCTCATCTAAAACGTCACCGATTATCTGCTCGCGTTCCCCTTTTCGGGACCACGGTGTTATTGACGAATGTGCTGATCGTTTGTTGTTGTTGTATTTTCATCTGTTATTCATTCTTGCCGGAGCCAACTGCCAACCAACGCAGCGTCGCACTGACACGGCATGCGTGCTGATGCTCGCAGGTGTCAACAGGCAGCAGTAGCAGCAGCAGCAGCGGCGCCGGTGGTGATTGTTGTCAGCTTGTTATTCATCTTCTTGGTTCTTTCGGTAAAGTCACGTATAATGTAAATAATAAAATAATAATAAAACATAATAAAATAATTCTCACGACGTTTCGGCCACAACGCAAGCAGGCGTCCTCAGGTGGAGAACAGGTCTGTCGAGAAGACATACCTGTTCTACACCTGTCATCTCGGCAGACCTGTTCTACACCTGAGTACGGCTGCTTGCGTTGTGGCCGAAACGTCGGGGTAATTATTTTATTGTTATTATTTTATTATTTCCATTCTACGTGACTTTACCGAAAGAACCAAGAAGATGAATCCCTGCAGTCACAAAAGCTTTAAATCGAAATTCAGCTTGTTATTATTGGCCCTGCAGGGTAATCCCAACCCGTGTCCCTAAATTGGGGGGGGGGGGGGGGGGCTTCTCCGCTGCCACGGAGATTGCAGAGTTTGCTAAGAGACGACACGAGATATCCCCTGTGCACCCGGGGGGGGGGCCGAGGGAGCTTCAGCGCCCCCGCTGTTTTATCAGCTGTGTCGTGTTTCACATCAATTACCGCCGCGTGGTCTTCACCCCCCACCCACCCACCCACCTCTCCTCCCACTGTGACTCCGCAAAGCGACTAAGCCCGATGCAGCGGCGGCAGGAAACAACATGCACACACACCATATCGGTGTCTCTACAAATGCAGCAAATGCAGAAACCGTACGGGTATAGAAATTTCGATTGAAAGTTTTCGTGACTGCAGGGATTCATCTTCTTGGTTCTTTCGGTAAAGTCACGTAGAATGGAAATAATAAAATAATAATAAAACATAATAAAATAATTCTCACGACGTTTCGGCCACAACGCAAGCAGCCGTACTCAGGTCTGTCGATAAGACAGACTCTGTCTTATCGACAGACCTGTTCTTCATCTGAGGACGGCTGCTCGCGTTGTGGCCGACACCGTCGTGAGAATTATTTTATTACGTTTTATTTTTATTATTTTATTATTTCCATTCTACGTGACTTTGCCGAAAGAACCAAGAAGAAAAAGGGTATAGAAATGTTCATCTGCCCATGTTGGGCTTTCCAGACCAATATTTTCAAGCAGGTGACCAGTTTTCACCTGCTCGGTCTCATCAGCAGCCAGTCTTGTTAAACACGTGTTGCTCGAGTACCCGATGTTATTGGCAAGAGCGCTCCATATAAACTATGGGGGCCCTGTGCAACGCAACAAAAATTAATGCCGCACGTAAACTCATAACGTGCTGTCGTGGTGCATTGTGGATTAAAGCATAAATATAGAAATCAACATTGTGGGTCTCATCAGCAGAATAAGTATACTGTACAGCACAGTACTTAGCTTCAATGACCAGGGTGATACATTATTAGACGTCCCACTAAAATGACAGGGTGAGATTACCCAAGGGAAAACGAGACTTTATTTCAAAAGCCTCATCACGTTTCCCAGCAATCCATCTCAATACACCTATTACATGTTTTTAACATTTTCATCAGTAAGGCATGGGACCTTCGTTCTCACGGTATCCCATCACCTGTTGAGAAGGTAAGTGGGGCACGACAACTTAGTGGGGTATGTATAGCAGTAGCGACATGAGTTTCTGAGGATCGGCCTCCTGCTTACACTACTGCACACGTAATCTTACAACAACGATTATTTGTATTGCTGTACCATTCACTCTGCATCCACGCCATCGGATTACGTTTCTAAATTTAAGAGTAAATTTAAAAGTAACTATTTGGCAAATTTAAGAGTAACTATTTGGCTTCTTGGTTCTTTCAGTAAAGTCACGTAGAAGGGAAGAAATAAAATAATAAAAATAAAACATAATAAAATAATTCTCACGACGTTTCGGCCACAACGCAAGCAGCTGAGGACGGCTGCTTGCGTTGTGGCGGAAACGTCGTGAGAATTATTTTATTATGTTTTATTATTATTTTATTATTTCCCTTCTACGATACTTTACCGAAAGAACCAAGAAGATGAATCCCTGCAGTCACGAAAGCTTTAAATCGAAATTTAACTATTTGGCCTTAAGAGTAACTATTTGGCAATTAATCATCAACCATGAGCTAGCAACTACTGGATGGGGGCCTAAATCCAGGGTATCAATCCCTCGTGATCTGGTGAGGCAACACATTTATCTGTCGCCTGCACATGGTTTATCTCACCACTCCATCTCTGCAATGGTCATCCTCTCAAACGTGTGCATCCCTTTGGCTTCCGTTCTATCGTCCGTCTTGACCATTGATCATCCCTTCTGCCAAAATCCCACTTTTATTCAGTCAATATTATGTCTATAATTTGAAATTAATTCTCTGATCCATGTTTTCCTCTGTGTGTCTCTCAGCGTTATTCTCATCATGAATCTAGCTCGGCTCATTTGCACAATGCTTTGCTTTTGTTCCATTTTTGTTGTTGTGCACGTCCTTGTTGGCAATTAATAATAGTTATTTGTTATACAAACGAATGCAGGCACCCAAGTTATTGCCCACACGGTCCATTTAATAACTCATGTTAATGCGTATACTTTACTGTATTTATAATGCAATATTTTTTTTCTGCATCGTTGAATTGTTTCATGTTTTGATGCATTTATCTAAGGCCAGGTCTCCTTCGGATAGGTCGTCTATCTGTACAGCACGTGTCCTTTATTAACCAGGTGAAATCCTGGTGGGAATTTTCTCCTGGTCGGGGAATATGTGTAAGCATACACACATAGGAACCCGTCAGGGGCATCATGTTTTTGTATGATGCAGTTAAATTACAGGTCAAACTTGCATGATGGTATCTGGGGCTATGACACTGGCACACGAAAGCCTAAAGCTTGTGACCGATGTCACAGGATCTTTAACGTTCTCTTTACAGCCGATAGCATGCTGCCGAAATGACACATACAAACTACTCGGCAAATATTTCTCGTTCTAATATACTGTATACCATATTCGTCCAGACTTAACATGCTCTGTAAAGTAAGACACAACCCC